TATTTCTTCAATGACACCAATGTTTTCAATAAAAATACAGTGTTTTTGATCTTTTGGTTTTCTGTTTCCATGCCAAATTTTGGGAACTATTATTGTTATTCATTATAAAATAATTCAAATAGTACGTGCACTCTGATTGGCCATAAAACCATTTTACATCAGCATATGTAAACATGGTTTTTGTTCCTCTTTCATTAGTTATTTTATAAAAGAAATGTAAAATGGTTTCTGTGTTTACATAGCCTGATGTAAACACTCGGGAGGTTGGGAGAACACAAGATAAGCTGGAAACCACTCTGCTTTGCTTCGTGGTTTACCATGCTTATCTTGTGTTCTCCCAACCTCCCAAGTGTTTACATCAGGCTATGTAAACATGGAAACCATTTTACATTTCTTCAATATTTCTGCCATGGTACTTGATCACTATTTTCATTGCTGTTGTTGATGTAAATTTTATTATCTTGAGGCCACAAAAAATAATTTAGTCATTTAGTGTAATATGCATCCTAGTAATAGAGATTGTTTGTTGTTGCACTGGGTCAAACCACAAGGTATCATGAATTGAGTCCTAAAAATTGTTTTGTTTGCCTTGGATGTGGTTGGTTTTGGTTAATTTTCTCTGTCTTCAAATTTATGACATTTTCATACCCCAGAATTTGTTCTGAACTATTTTACAAAATAAAACCATGTCATAAAGATAAATAAGCAAATCATTATTTAAAACCCTAACAATTCATTTTCCCTTTTTACATTCAGGATTCAAATACCAGAGAATAACCTTATTTGCCACGGGATTTTCATCTGCAGCCCTTCTCTCTTATGTAATATGCTTGATTCGAAGCACTCTGGCAATCCACTATGTCCTTTTAATTGTTGCAGCAGTAGCAATCTTTGCAGGAATTCTGTGTACAACAGTAGTTTTCTGTGGACTCTTCTCAAGTGGAATCATGGCTGGTTTTTGTTTAGCGATGGTGTTCCTTCTTGGTTTTGCATCTTTATACCAATACACAACACTATCAATACCAGTTGGAGTCATCATTGGGGTTTCTGTTCTCATAGCAGGGGCAAATGTTTGGTGGAAACGAGTTCTTCTGATTGTTTCATCATCAATTAATGGGGGGGCATTAATTGTGGGAGGACTGGACTATTTTATTGAGGATCTGCGATTGCTGGATTACTTCTGGCTGAAAATTTTCATGAAGAATATTAAAGGACATGAACCATGCATGTTTTCATGGATTATTTTGGGGGTGTGGCCACTTCTGGTACTGATTGGATTGCTGGTACAATTCCTCAAAACAGCAAAACAACCTCCAAAACCTAAAAAGGGTGAGAGCCAGCGTAGAAATCATTCAACTCAAAATGATCGAAACATTTTACTCCACCAGCGGGTTTAAAGGTGCCTGTATTATGTAATGCTTTTCATAACTCTCTGAATTAATTGATTTTATATAGAGCTTGTGTTGTTATGTGTAATATGGGACTAACTTACATAATCATTGTTATTGTCCAAAGGGATAATCTGAAGTGACATTGTACCAATTGCTGTTATTAATAAAATCTCACTGCTTTCAGATGAAATTAACTTAAGCAGAGTTTAATTTAGGAACAAGCTGTAGTGGTTACTATTGGTAGTCTTCTCTTGGTTGCATGAAGTATGCTCTTTGGCATTGGAGGGAAACATAATCCATAACTGTAACATGGAAGTAACATGCATTTGTAAATAATTTATTTAAAGTTTACTCATGGTATAGGTTTTGCATTTCTTACATATTTTTGTTTGAGGCTATCTGATAAGTTGTTTATATTTAATATCTGCTTTTTACTCTTAATATCTGATGCAAAATTTATTGTCAACAAAATATTTTGACTTACATCCATTCTTCATTTTTCTTGAGTAGCATTTTTCATTACATGTACTGGTAAGATAAATATTTTGAAAATGAATTTTTTGAGGTGCAAATTAGATAATGAAAAAAAAAAACTGTACAAATTATCATACCATCAAGCAACAGAAGGAGGGTTGGGGGAGAAAATTAGCCCCACAGTTTATATACAGAGCTATTCCAACTACGTGTAAACAATTTTAATTTGTAGGTTTCAAGTGGGAGATATCATTCTTAAGTACAATTGCTGCTTTTTAAGGTTGTAAGGATTAATGTTTGCTTGGGAGCAAAAACAATTTGGATTTCTTACTATGTAAGTTTAACTTGTAGTATTATGAAGTGTTAAATATAGAATTATTTGTCGAGATTAAAACATTAGAAAATTCACAGAAGATATCCACCATTCCTATTATTTTTTCCTTATCCATGCGCAGACTTTCACAACAAGCGTTATGCGATGGGATCTCCATATTACTCTGCTCCAGATGATGTAGAAATGACAGAACTCCTAGCAGAACAAGCGCAAGCACCTCCAACCCCTTCCCTACATATTGACCACACCCATCAAAGGGCCCCCATGCTATTGAGAGAGGACTGACATGATGCATACCCAGGGAGGGTCCAGACACTCAAGAAATGCTACTCAACTGAATTCACTCCACAGCTGTGTTTTCACCTTTCTCAACATCTCATCAAGAATTATTGATGTACATGTTATAGCTAAAAGCACCTGAAAGAAGGAAAAGGATAGTTGGATGAAAACTTCTGTATCAACTTTTAATTAACAGATGACAGTACCTTTTGTAAAGCCTAGAGGGAAGGATAAGCTTAGGGTAAATATTTTTTGATTCATCATCAAGAACTACTTCTAGTTTTGGTAAATAATCACGTCTGACTAATCAAAGAAAACACTTCTCTTAGAATGTAACAAATAACCTACACATTAGCTAATGTAAGCAAAATTTAAAGACAATCACATCTGCTGAGCATAGTAGAGAGAACAGAATCATTCATTAATGTACATAAAATTATGTGGACTGGTGTAAATACTAAAAACTTGTCAGCTTTAAGATTTATAAATAACTGCTTTTTGTAATCTGTGGTAAAAGTACTTACACTTGAATGAAATAATTTATTATGGACAAAATATAAAATGTTTTGAACTGTAAGTAAAAACACAGCTTTTACAAAAAAATTAGCATTTAGTGGATAAAGTAACAGCAGTAACAGTGAGTAATCAGTGGGTTCTTTTGTAACAAAATGGTAAAAATTAAAAAGCTGAAATTTTTAGGTCTTTCTGTGATCATAACTGTTTTGTGGCTTGTGGTTTGTGTTTGAGTAAAAAGACAATTTCTGAAGTTTTCTTGTCATGATTGGTTTGCTCTTTGAGTTAAATTAAAACATCTTTAACAAACCTCTCCTATGCTTTGTTCATTATTTAAGAATCAGTAGGTTTCTTTTGCTTTTATATTTTAGTGATACACTTGTGCAAGAGGCTTCTCAAAATTCAGGGACTTTTAAATAGAAGATGTGCACATCTTACAAAATGATTAAAAAACAAGTAAACAGATGTCAATGAAAAAAAACTTCAGGATCTTATGTTTGCCAGTACTTGAAAGTCAAATCTCACAAATGTTTTTTTCCAGCAACTGAAGAAGATTCCTAAATCATTTTATCATTTCTAATAATGTTAGATAGCACTATGAATTATTATGATCCCATGCTTAGGTACAGGAATGTAGATAAAGAGTAGATTCCAAAGAGTTTACAAATATGTTCATTGAGAAGCTTAGTCAAACTAACAGAATTTTAATTTATGTAACTTCTAAAAGATAATGATAGAAAACAAAATGAAAACAAAATTTTAACCTTTCCTTCCAAACAATGTAGGCAGTTTGTTGGACAAATAGTTCCTACACAACCTGAGAAAAAATTTATAAGGAACTATATACTGACAAAGTTAAAGTTAAGGAAATGAAAATATTCGTACTTCATGTTCAGAGGAGAATTATAGTTTTAGAAAACAAAATGTCATCAATATTTAATTTACAGAGAGGAAAAAATGGAATTAAGTTAAGGCATGGTATATAAAATCTTACAAAAAGATAAATTTATATAAGTTATTTCCCAGGCAGAGGATAAATTGATAATAAATTGAATGGTTATATTTGTTTGGATGAAAAATATTTATTCAAGTGCAAGAAGTTTCCCAAACACTTACATCAGAAAATTCAACTATGATTACATTCACAGAGGGAAGTGTTCAAATGATCAAGTGTGACACCACTGGCTCCTGGATAAACCCAGGAAGACAAATGGCTATGACAGATCTTTTGCTTTTCCTTACATTTGTTTGTTTACACATAAACTCTTGCATGGCTTGCTTACCACATGACTCCTATAGCTAAGTGCTGATGGGAAGGTCATCGGTTCAACGCCTTTTGGGAGCAGCCTTAATTCTTTTTTCTGAATATACCTGTCATTCACTGGATGAAATTGTATTTCACTCTCCCATGTTACATGTGATGAATTGTCAAAGCAACTAGTTCCAGCCTCTACTGTTCTAATTCTCACAGCATCAAGACTAAACTCTGTATTTGTGACGCTAGGAAAAATTAACACTTGATCACTGGTGTTGGAGTTCCATTGTGTGATCATCCAAGTGCATGTGGGGCTGCAGATTACTTGTCTTTTGCTATGACTGGCACTTAGTCATCTCTGCTTGCTCAGTTCTGCTTGACAATGATCAACTGCAGCAGGGTTTTGGTCAATAATGGGAAAGGAAGTGACAAGCCAGTATATAGGCTGTTTTTTTTTTGGACAATTTAATTGTATGAGTGGTTTAAGGCAGCAATGCAATGTCTTGTGCATATTCAAAATATCTTTATTAGCATTTTGTGTCAGTATTCTCAATAATTGATCCTATTTGGTTGTTCCTTTCACTTTTGATGGTTTTCTGGCTCACCAACAAATTTTTAGTAGTTTTTTTTTATGTTGAATATGGTTTTACCACTTGTAACAAACAATTCAAAATATTGGAATGATAACCCTCAACAAAAGAAAGCAGATGACAAGAAGAAAGGAGATTTCATTAAAAAACTGTCACCACATTGGTCTAAACATGTAATTTTATTGTAATTTACAACCATAATGAAAGTAAATCCAATATAATACTAGTAAAAGTTAAGTGAACTTCGGTTTACTCTTTTTTGCCTTTTAATCCAAGCACAAGATAATACTGTATTACAGAGCTCATCAGTCTAGAGACCTGTCTTGGTTAACTAGACAGTGAAATCAAAATCCCAAAAACAAATTGATAAGTGGCAGTGTATTTACATTTGAAGGGGCTTTAAGTGATAGTATGGTGCTCCTCTCACTGTATTTTACTAGGATCTTGAATAACTATCATCAGGTATTCTTTATCTGGAATTAAAAATTGGAAGAAATCTTTAAGGTAATTAAAGAAAGGGGGTAAGTTTGTCATAAAACTGTGGCATATTGTCAGTGGAAGAGTATAACTACAGGGTAATTTAACTTATTATCAACCAAGTTGATAATGTAAATTGGCCATGATTAAGAGTTTCGAAGCTGGCATTTTGAGTGTTAGCCATTCATCAAAGTGGATGAGGGATTCAACTCAGCTGATAATTAATACTTTAATTACCTTTCAAGGTAATTACTGAGTTAACTTGAGTAGATTTAACACAAGATGTTGAAGCTAGCTTGTTTTACCACATGTTGATGGCATATGTACACAAATATACAACACTGATCAGAGAGAGGTGAGGTGAGGTGATGTGCAAAGTAGAATTCACCTTAATAGCCAAAGAAAAATGAAATGTTCCCTTGTTTTTCTACAGTTACCAAAACATAAGTTTTGCCTGGTTTGAAATGTGAGGTTTTTCAGCTTGGAAGGTCAAGCATCACAACCACACAGACTAAACCTCTGTGATTCCGTTTAATAACAGAACAAATTGATGCAGGAACATGCACCTCCCTCCATATAACCTTGTTTTCAGCCCATGCCAGCAATTCTTAATCTAAGTACATTCTTACAAGGACCAGTTAGAGTGACATACAATGACCACACGACACCTATAGTACTGACAGCTGGATCATAGACACAGTAAAGTTAATTCATAACAAGGTTACTACACAAACATAATCTATTTCCCTTTTAGTATTTTCAGCAGTATTATTTCAATGAAAGGTAGGAAAACTTACCAGGAGCAACCAGAATTTCATGCTTCTTCGAACGGACTCTCAGAAACATTAAGTCATTCTAAACATGAAAAATGAAAACATCAGTTCCTTGAAAATAAATGATTTGCCACAAACAGGACCAAGTAATAAGGAGTCACAACTAAATTTCTGTCCAAAAGTTACTTACCCATCAAGTGTGGTACGTTGGCACTATTTTAAAAAGTAAGTTTAGATGGATTTCAATCTTGTGCACCTTTCTTTTAAAACTTCAGTTGAGCAAACAAGATTTTAAATACTGTGCATCTTGGAGGAAGAGTCTCTAACTTAAATTGGCTTTCAGGAGCAAAAATGTCTGAAACCTGAAAGTTTTGAGATGAAAATAGGGATTTTGGATGATTTCTGATAAGAGAAAATTCACGAAGTACTCAATTTAAGTGAAACGATTTTAGTTTGAATTTTTGTACCAACAAATACAACAAGATTACTTTGTTCTGATAATGAAAATAATCCCAAATCTCTCTCAATTTAATCAGTTCCAAAACAGATAGAGACTTTGTTGGAAAATCACATAAACAGCATCATGGTAAAATTTCCGCACAGCCCCATGCCATTGTAAAACAAATCTGTTTTCCCAATGGCAATGTATTGTTTTTGTCATTGCTTTCTCTATCCAAGAACTGAATGCATAATGTAGTATGGGGCTATGCCGAAATTTTACCAGCATCATTAACACTACTAAGCTTGTGCTTCAACAGCTTCTTAAGCAAAAACTGTTCGCCACCCATAGTTGGCAAAGACTTTTAAACAACGCTTGACATACACGGCCACCATGCTGACAATGAAAAATAAGTTCCCTTTTGAAACATTTAGAAAATAACATAAAGACATTCCAGACCTGTGGATCGATATCTCGAACTGTATTCCTTGCCTTACTGGTCAATTGGTGAAATAACCCAGCATATTGTACAGTTGTTGAGTTATCCATGGTCGTTCTTATAGGAATTCCTGCAGCGGAAAAATTAATGAAGAGTATTTGCATCTCAATTTAGAACTACCTTATAGGAAAACGCGTTCCTTCCTTGAGCACTTTCTGTGTTGTTAAAGAAGGTTTTCAACCATTTTCAGAATTTCGTACCTTCACTATTGACGACAATAATTCCAAGAACGCCTTTGTGGCTCTGGATTCTTTTCAGCGATTCCTCAACTTCAGACTATAAGAAAAGAGAAATTTTATATTTTAAACGTAATCGTAAATAATCAAAACACGAAAAGTCAACTAAAATTCGCACCATTGTCGCTTTCCTATAGCTTGCACTTGTTTTTCGGAGACGTTGCCACGGAACAAAACCTGCTTTGCTTTATGGGTGATTTTATGAGCCCTCGCTTAACTGATCAGCTGTTTTTTCAATTAATAGATGCGCAATGTTCACAGGGTTCTGTTCTGCGTGCGACGAGGAGGACTGGAATCTAAAGAACTAAAAGCATTTCCGCTCCCCTTTGTTTTGGATATAATGATGTCGTCTTCTATGTTTTCTGATGTTTTGTTGGCGTCTTTTGCCACCAGCTGATCAATGAACCTGTGGGGATTATGTGCTTAAAACGACGTTAAAGTTTTTGAATGACATGAAGGAATGGAGCGATCAGAGCGGTAAGTTGTCGAAAACTGGGAAATTATATTACATTCATTTGCAAATTAGTAGAAATCAGCGCCACTCGTGTAGATTTAGAAGTTGCCACTCTCTTACATAACGACAAGAATTGAGATAAACGTTGGATTATCAATTTTTTGGATAACATAAATCGTTTGTTTGCGTATATGAAACTTACATTAGGCATACATGAGGAGTGCTGTATTAATTACTTATTAAAGATCAATAGAGCGCCTAAGGAATGGATGATAGGCTAGATTTGGAAAATATTGAAAGGGCTCCTGCTGTTTTGTTATTTTGGGCTAAGATTGATGTTCCATTTCATAGACTGTGATTTATTTCCTAGCAGTAATATATTGATGTCAGTCTCAGCAGGTCTTAATCAAACTAATAACACTATTTTGATTTTGTCTTTAGCATAGCTGTTTTTTCTTAAATTGACCTGATCTTGACTCATTTAATACTAGCACACTAGTTTCACTCTGATTCTTAACTTTGTGATTGAAAGTAATTAAAGAAAAAAAATTTTTGATTAATGAATTTAAGTTACCACAAGCATGCAACATACAGTAGTAGGTTTCATACTTCTGCAGTCAGCCATAACCTGTTGAGAACAGACTCAGGTGCTGGAGGATGGGTATTCAGGGTTGTGAAAGTGATTTATTTTAAAGTCACCATTTTGTAACGTAAGATTTTAAGATCAGGTTCTGTAAACAAAAATATTGGTTGCCATATGAAAAAAGGATGCTGTTAAATTATTCAAAATATGATTCATAATAATTGTTATAATTTTAATAATAGTGGCTCTGACATAATGCATTCTTAAGAGATGTGAACTGAAGTCATGGTAACAAATAGAATATTACTGAATAAATTACATATTACTGAATAAATTGCATAAAATCAGACCTCTAAAACTGTTATAATTACAAAATTACTTATTAATTTTTCTTGGTTTTCAATGACACAACCACAAGAGCACTAATCTCTGATTGATACAAGCTCAATTTTATAAGGCTTCACCCCTTCTGAAGTTACTCACTCTAAGAGTATGACACTCTAAGTGTTTTGAACTGATGTGGCTTTTACAGGAAGGAAAATTTTAATTCATTCAAAATTATTACCAAAGAGTCATTTTAATAACCATTTTCTTTGTATCTGAATGTGAAGCCATTACCCACGAGCACCTATCGATGATATAGAAGAAAAAATTGATTTCCCTAGTTAGGGAAAGAGGTAATAATGTTTTCTCAGTGAAACACATCATAAAAATGAACAAGGGCAGGCACCACAAGAGAAAAAGACATTCCAAGAAATGTATGTTCCTAATTTGACATATCATAATCAATACAGATGTGTATTTTACAAAATGGGGGATAGTCTTCTGGTGAATCTATTTGTCTTCATATACCAGTGCATAGAAAAACTTGTAGTTAAAACCCTTTCAATGTTGGTTTATGAGGACCTAGTATTGTTATTTTGGCATGGTGATGTACTTGTATTTGATAGCATATATTTTTATAATTTTTCAACAGATTGTTCAGAGGGTGATTATGATGAAGAAACAGAGCTGTTTGAACAGGAGACTGAGGAGTTTATGAAAGATTTTGTAGCAAAAATATTCCTAGAAGAGTAGGTTGGAATACTGTAAATAGCAGTTAGTGGAATATTTTTAAAGTCATTAGGATATAGTCCAAACAAATTAAAGGCTCAGGATTTTATTGACCAGTTGTAGTTGAATTTTCTAGGCTGATTTTTATTATTTTATTCTCACATTGGCTAAATTTTTTCAAAAACAAAAACCTTTCATTTAATACAGTTTTTTGCTTTGCAGCCTCCTCTGATAATTATTTGTTGTTTCCTAGAAGCGTTATTTCTCAGGAGGACAAGCTCAAGTTTGGAATCCTTAATCAGGTAATAATACACATGAAAACATTATAGACATCTGATTGACTGAAAACAAGTTCATTTTTCATGTAAGATGAATGCAAAGTTGTGACATGAGTACAAAGTACAAATAGCGTGCACACTTTCAAAATTTTGTTTATCTTACATTTTTTTCATGTAAATTATTTTTAAGTAAAAACATGATTTCTCTTGCTATTTGGTGTAAGTAAAGCACCTGTACATTTTCCAAAGACTGCAATTTGCACTTGCCCTATAGGCTTGTGCAGTTTTGTAGTCTTTGAAAAATTTACTCAAGACATGCATATTATCACCTAATTGCACTTGAAATCAATCGCCCATACTAATTGTAATGTTGAGCCCAAATGTGATAAAGTGAAGGGGATTTTGGTGGTTGTGTGGTTGGCATTGTGAATTGTGGATCAAATATGTCTTGTTTTAAAGCAAGGCTGGGTCACCGAGTTTCAATTTCTAGGCAAAACATTTTACTCTCACAATACTCTCTGAACCCAGGAATAAAATGGTCACAGAAAGCTGTATGGAAGGCATGAGAAAATTTAGAAGTTTAGCCTCCAAAATTTAGCTGCTTCATGCTAGTGAAACTGGGATAAGTTCTGTTAGGGAAACCAGTTTGTTGTCTATATGCTTATTGCTGATTTTGTCTTCTTTATTCAAAGAAATATTTCCAGTCTCATTGCATTTAGTTATTTGTATCAAATTTTTGCTTTTCTCATCAATTTTTTTGTGTTTTAAAATCTCTTTCTTATCTGCACAAACAAAAGTAACTGTATAAGCATGCAGTACTGATTACAAGCCATTTGATAATTTGTTTTCTCTTCTACAGCATAGTGTTGGACGTCTTTCCTTTTCCAAACATGTTGACAACCAGGTAATGTAACTCCGTTGAAATATACTTCAATTTACAAGTCCAGATGATTAAACCTGACTTTTCAACAGTAAAGGGAATTAATATTTACCACACAAGTGAATAGTGCTTTTTTGTGCACGTTGATTGGCTAGTTTGAAGTGAATTGCAAGTGCTATTCACCTTTGAGCAACCATTTTTCTGTATACAATAAGAAATAAACTCATTTTTATGTTATATATGTAGCACACACTAAAACAGTTATGCACCTCAGTGTCAGTGAGAGTGGTGGATATTTACCTCCACTTAGGTGAATAATTCATAATTATTAACCTTGTTATTAACAAATTAGACCCCCCCCTTTGCAGTTATCCAATTTTGTTACTCCTATAATTACAGACTGAATAGGACTCCACTCAGTCCTATACCATTACTAATCAGTCACCTTAATAAAGTGTTCTTTTTGCTTATTTGTCGATCAGTTCAAAGCTTAAATCAACATCCCTTCTCCCCTGGCATTTGAATTTTTGAAGATTGGCTTGTTTTATTTCCTGCCCCCCCCAGGAACCAAAATTGTTTTCGAATGCCTTTCCCAAGGGCTGGATTTGACCGTCAATTTTTTTGGAGAAGGCAAGATCAGTGACTGTGACTTTCTTGGTGACATTTTTTAGTTACTTTTTTTTGGATTAAGAAAAAAAAATCAAACTCTGTGTTAGCGTATATAGTAGCATGTTGCTTGCACCAATCACATTGCTGCATTAGGGTATGTATCTCACACCAATTAGATTGCCACATTAGGGTATGTATCTGACACCAATCATATCATAGTATTTTAACACTTTGCACCAATCACAGTGTTTGGGTATTGTTTTCTTATAAATGATGTCATGGATCACATAGGTGTGCACAAAGAATGACATTAACTAGAAATTTTGGGCTCATTTGTTAAGTGTAATGGTTTATGACCTTTGCAAGAGCCTCATCAATTAAGATCAAGATTAATCAGGATGTGGAAGGTACACATTTAAATTTTTAAGTTAGAATGTGTATTTTTTCGGCTCCTTTACTCACAACTCACATGCCAAACAACTTACATTCCATCATGTATGATGATAACAATGTCCAAAGTCCAATCAGAACATACCTAATCATTGCATTACATGAACATCAGGTTATTTTTCATGTGCTTCAATTGTATTCCACCAATCAAATTCCATTTTGCTATATTAAACGTTGCTCTATCACTTGTCATTTTCTGGTAAACAACCGACATTTTATCACATATTCTAACCGTATTGTACAATCCCTCTGAAAAAAATTCACATGGAACTAAACGCTATTGGTATTGAGTTTTCCATGCAGTTCTCCTGCTTTTGACTTTTTCTATGAATTAAAGTCAGTTAAAGCTATGTTGGACTTCACCCAATTGCATGTTAATTCCTTGTAAAACAACCTGCATTTTATCATGTATTTCACACATGCAGAGGGCAAAGTCCAGATAGGCAACAACCTATCAAGGAGCCCTCTTTCAAATATTATCCTTTTCTCTTGTTCAATGTATCTTCTCTTATTCGAAATTGCAATATGTTTTTGGCTAGGGTCTATTTGAGGTACAACAGAGTTTCAGTTTGTTTTTTGTCGTAAAATTATGCGTAATTTTTTTTTGAGGTAACTAACTGTAGAGGAATAATTTTGATTTTCTCTCTTTTGGAGGAACGGCAGTAAGCGTTGTCTCTTAGGCAACTGTTATTTGGTCTTGTCATGCAACACGCTCTCTCTCAAACGGGAAATAGATGGTGTTGTGTGAGAAGACCAAACAATGGCTCTGAAGGAGACAACAGTAAGCATGGCATGAGGCATTTCATTTTTACTTAGAAGTATTTAGACAATAGAAACAATAAATCACATAATATATGTGTGAGTTCAGATAAATTAGGTTTTTTTCTACCTTTCTAAGGTGTTGAAGCTTTTAATTGATTGGGGCATTACTTTAGAACAAAGTGGGTTTAAACTAGTCTTGATTTCTTTTTTTCTTTTTTTTCGTCAGAGAGTATATTGCAAGAGTGTGCCAGAAACCATCTTCTTCAGACTTGTACAGTACTTTGCAATTGTTTTATTTGAGTAAGTGGGACCTTTTTCCTCCCCTTTCCTTATTTATTTCATAAGGCAATTCTTCAGTTATCTTTAATACCTTGCCTAGTGATTGTATAGTTAGTAAATTTTCACTTATTAGGAGTTGAAATTATTCCAGGATTGCTCTCACTGGTTTTTTTTCACATCACTCTTTGATTGGTTTGAAACTTGCTCTGTTTTATCAGCCAATCAGATGCCAAACTGGAACCAATCATGTCTTGGACACTCACACTATCTAAGGTTTCAGGCCATCTGCAGTGATTTCTTTCACCTGGAGTTGTTTTTGTTTCCTTTTGATTGTTTTTTCCTTATCTGATTGGCCACTGAATTACTATAATAATTATAGTTAATTGAAGGGTTTTGATGAAATCCCTTAGGGTTTACTAAAGTCAGGGGACTGGAAAAACCATGTTTTTTTAAAACCATCTCTTTATGTGGTTTGGTTCCATGCATACATTTACCCATTCATTTACCCTTAACTCCTAAGATCTGATTGTTAATTCTCCCCTCCAGCTGCTACACATTTCCTTGTAAATTAGTTTTGAGAACTTGATGTTAGATCAAGACAACAACTTCTACCTGATAAGTTTGAATATTCTCATTAGCTGTTTGCTGGATGATGAAAGGGTATTATAGGGAGAAGTTTCATGTTGATCACTTCTGGGAGTTAATGGGTTAATATTATATAATTATGCAATCATGAAAGTGGGTTTTTGTTTTGGAAACAATCATCTGAGATCAACTGAGTGGCAAAAACGATGAGCTTGAGGGATGTGCAACAGGCCATTTAGGATCACATGTAGTAACACCGTATCTAGCATCAGCTTAATGTGAACTGTTATTTTTTAGAAAATTCAGGAAACGCAGATGTTTATGTCATTAAGATGTAATACTAACCTTTTTCTTTGTGACACTGTTTGTGGACTTCTTTTCCTGTAAATAGGGTCATAAAAGTTAGCCTTGAGCATATAGTTTCGATGTAAATTTACTGGTGGCAAAAATTTCCGTTTTATCTTCTCATAAAATTTCCATACTCACCCCATTTGTGGTGCGAACTCCTCCTCTGGCAGTCTCCTATGAGAAGAAAAAATAAACAAAGAAACCCACATCAAAAACCAACTTACTAGAAAATTTCGGCTGAAAAACTACTGTACATTAGTATTCAGGCATTGTAAGATAAAAAGAAACATTGTTGACTTTAAGTTACAGTGGTTGCCACAAAATTGAGATGGAAACAGGTCTCAAAAAATGCTAAAATGAACTGACTTACAATTTCTCTTTAGTATTCCACATTTTTAGCGCACTTTACCCGATTGATGGTCGTAAAAACTTACACCAAAGTATACAAACGGCCAATCAGAACGAAGAAAAATATCTCAGGGGTATTTGCACATTTCTTTTTTCAGCGCTTATTACGGATGTGTAAGATCTTTCCTTAACATGCAAAGTGTATTTGAAAATACTAAAATTTTTTGTCTCTGGAAGGAAGTGTATGCTATTTAGAAGAGTGGCCAATTCTATTACAACTTCCAATGATTTTGATAATTTTCATCTAACGTCTAAAATAGATTTAAGGTTAGCACAAAGAACTTACAGTTACACAAAATGCACTGGCGCTGGTCAGAAACTATACAATTGGGTGAATTTTGCTTCAAGCAAGAATAATAATTTAAAGTTTAAAACAATTTTCAAAAAAGGCAAAATAATTACTATACTGTCGCTGTAAAGAAAACAGAACGAAAACCATAATTATGGTTCTGAGGTGTTTTATATCCGTTATCGAATCAATCATCTCGAACGATAAATGGATAAGTTTTCAGTTCAAACATTTGTTTTCGAAATATCGAACTAAATTTGTTAAAAGTAAACCAAATATGTCGAGGTTTGCGTTTGCTATTGCTTTTGTTTTTTTTTTTCAAAATTTTAGTTGGTCTACCTAGAGCAGTGACAGTTAAAAGATATTGTCACATAAACAATTTTAGAAACACTGAGTTGTAAATTTAAAGCCAATTCTTACTAGATCTTTAGGATCGCTGAGATAACCCAACGGACTTATCTTGTATTTTCCAAGCCCGTCATCTTTAAGCTGTATTTTATAATCCTGCTGTAATTCAACCGAAGTGTGCTGGTCGTCCATGTAGCCATCAGCTTTGCTTTCGCCTGATTCCTTTTTCTCTTGCCCGAGGCGATCGTAGATGTACAGATGCGAGGGTTTTAATTTTCCTAAGTGGCTCATTCCGATTGTTGGTTTCGATAACCCCACTAATATTCAACCCTACAGCCAAGCTGCATATTTTTCTCCGTTAAGAAAAAATTAATTTTTAATTAACAATCTCTTAATGACGCCAATTAGTGCAGCGTTTGTTTGGTAGTTCACAGTTTTATGGGTGACAGTTGACGCACGAATGATTTTTCTAGTAAACTTCCAAAACTGAATAGAATTTAAAAAGAAACTCTCGTGCTTTTAAATTTATCTCCACCATGCTTATTTTACTCACCACTTCCATGCCTCTTATTATTTTTTCCCTTTTATCCCAATTTTTATCTGAAAGAAGAGAGGATTTCTATTACATAATTAATGAATTCGCACTTCGTAGAATATTGCGCTCGAACGTAGATTTCACTAAATGATTACAACATAATTATTTTGTATCTGAAGAGGTAAAAGTATTACATTCGTGTTAAGTTAATAAAATCCATTGTAGACGAGTTTTGAATGATACAAAAAATACGATAATCATTTTCCTTCCCTTTCAAAATCAGATGCAATGTGTACTCGGCTACATTTCAATACATCGTGATAATTGATAGTCGTGTAACATGCAGTTATGAAAGGTTTAGTTAACAACCATATTTCTCACCTTTCAACAAACTTATCGTTTAAATATCTGTCGTAAAATTGAAAAAACTTCCGGAAACAACAAATTGTACAGATTTGTACAGATTGTTATTGAAATGAAACGTAGTATACATTCGTTTTCATTGAGGAGCTGCTTTTGTTTCAGTCATTGATAAATAATTCAAGCATGATAACATCTTATGTCTTGTTGGGAATGAATTAAAATTGATTGATCTTCAAATAACCTGATTGTAGATGTTTTTCTGTTTCAATTGTGTTGAGCGAATGTACTTCTCTTTTATTTAATATTCCGCATTCATTGGGCATCCACCATTTTTGAAATCGAGGATTCTTAGAAAGGGAGAAGAAATGAACATAAAGATTTTTTTTTAAGTGGCAACGTATTGAGAACTTCTATTCTGACTGGAGACACCATAATAACTTGGTCAGAATAGTCCATAATGATTCATTTGATCTGATAGTACCCGAAGGGCGAAGAACTCGTTTGTAAGCCGATCAGCAGGAATTTTGTGGGAGAAAAACTTGAAAAGAGAAAAATACTTGGACCTAGATAAGTTGTTGTTGATGTAGATAACACACAAGGTAATAAGAACCGCTAACAAGGAACTGAAACCACATGTGATTATACGACAGGCGACTGGTACATAGGAAAGGAAATAATATGCTGTGACTCAGTTCTTGGTATTACCTAGTATAGTAACTGCCAATTTTTGGACATCAGCACTATTCAGCCTGTGTTAAGCTGGCCACCACAGGGCTGTTGTCAGTGGCTGCATAATCAGTAACCACTCGATATGGAGTGCACTTGTGTTACTGGTCTCACTGTAGCTTTATAGTGTCGAGAATTTACGAGATTATGTGGATTCCAACTTTATAACCGAACCGAGGTGTCAGTAACAAAAGCGTAAAATGCAAGACAAAGAACTTTTCCTTATTTGTGTTCACACTTACATACAGTAAAGCGAAAAAATTGAAAACTTTGAGGGCAATGAAGGAGTGACATACTGAATTTGTCAAGATTGAGAGGCGCGGGAGGTCACGGGAAGTGAGTGCTTTCCAGTCTTCTATCGGTTTTATATCACATATTACAGTATTGATGAAGGAAAAGAGGTGGAGTCCAGAAAACGTGCTGCCAGCATTAGCGTAATTCTGTTACGTCACCTTTGGGTTATGTCACCCACTCATATGAAAACATTAAACTGTTTTTTTTTTTTTTTTACGGGAACAGTTGTAGGATGAGATCACTTACTGAAGGGAAATTGAACTAATATGCAGTTCACCCTCACGCCGAACGTGCGGAGATCTATTTTATTAAGCGACGATTTACAAGCAGTCTGTGGGATTGAACTCTTGTAACGTTTATTTTCTCTTCAGATGTAACCAAGCTGACGATTTTGAGCCAGCCAAGATTTTAATGAACATGTGTTTTACATTTTTCCTTCAAATTAACAAAGGTAAGTCGCAATTTAGAACATTTTTTAAGGTTTTCGTACACCGTTCTTCTTTCGGCCCACCCTCATCTCGTCCTCCCCTCCCCTCCCCCCCCTGTTTTCAAAGAATGTCTGAATCCGCCACTCACACGTTTGCAATGTACTGTCTTCACTCACTTTATTTGTATAGTTTCTTTAATAAGACGACTTAAATTTTTGTTTGTTCGTTTTTTATTTAATTTACAGATGGAAAGGAAGTAATGAAGCAGTTTATTGTTCCATACCTCAGAGATCAACCGATTTGGTGAGAAGATTCTTGCATGACACGAAATGCTTTTTTTGTCGATGCAAACCTTTATTTTTTTTGTAATGGGGGGTCTTTATTTATTATCTTTTTAGCCCTAGATAAGTTGATTTTAATATTCGGTACAAGTACGTTGACATAAAGAACACAGCGTGGTAACAAGAATCGAACTATTGAGCCCGGATTTTTATATATAGCGCCGGAAATTTCTGGCGATCCTCCAAAAAATTAAAGGAGTAGTGTAACATTAGTTTGGGTTGGTTTGACATGGAAGAGATTACGTGGATTGCATATGAAAAACTTGGATAATTTTAAGCTGAATTTTCACAATGCAGCTTCTCCGAACTACCTCCTCTTCGTACCTTACCAGCTTTTTGCGACGCACGAAACGATTCAAACGACAAATTTAGAAAACTCTCTGATTTTCTAGGAGAACAAGGAAAATTAGTCGAAGCCACAGCGGACTTTTTTCGTAATTCTCCCCCCATGTCAATAGAATTGCACGTTGATTGTAGACATCACGCTAGGACTGCAAGTATTAAGTTGTGTTTTGTTTTGATTTTGTTTTTGTTTTGGTTTTCTTCCTCAATTTAGGAAGTCACTTCGGTTCTGGAACGCAGCTTTTTTCGATGCCGTACATGGAGAACGAGAAGTTTCTGCCATACCAAGGTTTGACCCGTGACATTGTTATGTCGTGCTGTCTTGTTTGTAAACACGCTCATTATCGGCGTTATTTGACTTTTTTTCTCTTTCGTGTATAATGTGACGCTCAATTTGACCTTCTTTTGGACCAAAACAAACTTTATGGTTTAACTTCCGGCTGAACTAAATGGGGAAAACAAACTCTCCTAGAACTCGCATGACTTTTAAGATGTCAGAAATCCATCTCTAATTTCTGAATATGGATCTTGACCCGAACTAACAAAATAATTTCCCATGAAATTTCTTTTAACTTGTCTATATTATTTCCATTTTGAAAAATGAAATGAAACTTCAAATTTCAGTTATAATCCACCATATTAGACTATACTAATGACCCTGTGATTATTGCCCCTAGCTAGGTAAACAATGAATGTTAGTTTATCAAGGCTAGTTTTATTTACTGAACAATCAACGTCGAGTACTTTAACTGGTCAATCAGTTTAGTCGTAAGCTAACACAGAAAGGAAAAATTTTCCGCAACAACTACTGATTCCCTTATCCTTTTTTACCTTTTAGTGATACGTGGCAGAGTTGGACTGTACAAGAACAAAGTGAATACAAAGAATGTGACAAGAACAGCGTATTTGGTAAATTAGGGTCAGTATCTAGAAAGAGAAGGGGAAACAGAGAATAAATTGCTTAGGAAAACAGACACAAAATATGTTAAATCAAACTGAAAGTTACGAGAATAAATGTGCTTTCCTTTCAACTAAAGATCTTTCCAATCTTTATATCTATCTTTAGGACGTTTCTCAATAACATGAAGGCATTTGGTCTCGGAAACGACATATGCAAGGAATTTCTTCAGAAAATGAGTATAATTGGAGACTTGAGTGAAGGTAAGCCGACCTCATCAGAAACGCTGGGGCGAGTAGTATGAAATCGAGGCAGGTTTTGATTGTGTGCTGCTCCTTCCTTATTGTGGGATAGGTGCTCACTTGGTTCATGTCGAGGATAATATGGACTGCTGGCAACCGGTAAAATGACTCTTTCATTACATTTAATAACACATCTAATGAACCTTACAGGACGACCTTAAATTACCGACAGAACGAAACCAAGCGAGCCGTGCGGCCAATAACAACACGGACTGACCAATTAGTTTACACGAAACATTTTTGCGACATTGTACCATCAAACAGCCGTTAACTTGATTCGAATGATAACCTTTTTTCATTGTGTCCTTTTACAGAACAAATTGTGCTTTTGGAGAATAGCATGGCTGCGGCTGGTGTTGACGAGCGCTCGCGGTAACTAATCAGTTGCATGATAAGGGAACCCAGAAGAACGCAGTTTTTCTTAATACCCGCTCACTGCATTCAGGACATCAGCAGCACTCGAGATCATTTTGGTACTTAAAGTATCTACAAAGCCATGTATCAACATCTGTAATATTTTCTTATAAAAATTATTTCTTTGCTTACCCATTCGACTAGTTTTGCTCGGAAACTTTTAAGTGCCCTTTACTGAAGGTTGACGATTCAGAGAGCGAATTACTCCTTAGACAGTTTATTGTGGTTAACATTTCTGGCCTATAACAGAACATTTACCTCTGATACATGTTTTGACACAGTTCTTAGGAACTTTTAACTTGTAAACATCTCTTGGGCATATTAATTAATTTCTGCGAACGGGAGATCTTTAAAACTAACATGAAAGGACGACGATACACATTGATTTTCAGTTTGATGAACTTCTGCGAAAAAAACCCTCTATGATGTTTTCATTTTTATGAGATAAAAGTTGTTTCTTTGTATCCCACTTTTTGATAATGACAGGTGGAAAAGTTCCAGGATTCCAAACAACGTCCCATGAAAGTTCAAAAAAGGCTGTAAAAGTCACAGTGAATTTTATTTAATCCGCAAAGTGGATTTTGTTACGGTGAATTGTACTGGTTTCGAATGCAATTTGATAACTGAAGCAGTCCTTATCTTTATAAACAAGGCCTAGGCGTTTCCATTACATATTTAAAATTTAAAATTATTTATCGCACAGAAAATGGGATTTGGGTATCCTTTAATTAAATTCAACTTCTTTCGTTTAAACGGAAGACAATTAACGAATTATCTTATTGTAAATGTTATGGCAAGATATTTTAAAAGTTTGTTGTTAAATTATTTAGTTTTCTAAGTACCGTGCTAACAGTGGTCTGTATATGAAGGGTTTTAACCACGCCATTTTAAATGGTAATAAATGACATTTCTTAAATTCCCCTTCTCTGGTCATGGTGTTTATTTCATCAGCAGTTTGTTGTACAGCCATTTTATTATCTCCATTTGTTATTGGTTACAACGGAAAACAACTTGACGCACAAAAAATGATCGCGTGTTTCATAGCCCTGTGATACCACAGTAGATAGTCCCTTAACTACCCTACCGCTGCTGCTGCTGCTGCTTCAGTAACATTTATGATTCCACAATGATGTCATTTCTAAATCTTCAATTAAGGTCGCATTAGTGAGCAAAATATGAGGGAATAAAGACAGAAAATGAAGCAACGATGGATGTAAAAACGTCTCGAAACTAGTTTCTAAGGCGTCAATCAATTCCCAATTGATTCAATCAAATTGAAAACAGTTTTCTAGCTTTCTTTTATATATACGTCATTTGCACGCGCGCCTCATGGACAGATAGAGAGAGATTGTGAAACGTAATACTCTCACTATAACAGAAAAGCCAAACTGGAAGGAATAATAAATCCTCCAAGCGGTGACTAGTCTAAAAATTGAACCATACGGTTACAACATCTGAAGTGAGTCATCCAGACATCAGGGCGACGAAGATCTGTTGCTACAAAAATCTTATACCTTGTAATTTTATGTTTGAGGTTAAATAGAAATCAAGTGTAAGAGGGAAGATGGGAGCGATCTATACTTTGACCTAATTCCCCACACTAAAATAACACTATTCCGTATATGCAGTCTTAAAAGCTATCTAAATAAAGCTATATATTGGACTCTGGGGACCCATCTTCCGCAGTGGTCAGAGGTGTAGTTTCTTTTTGGTCCTCGGGTTCTTCTGAGGGCCTTCCTTTTTGGCTCTTGTCAGGATTCTCTGCCAAAACGTGCGCATTTTCTCCGTTTGCTTTGTTTGAGTCCTGGGCACTGTAGAGATAAAATTTACATTATACCATTTAGTAATACATAGTGGTAAGAGGATTTACACAGTGTGTCAGCCTTTTTTTAAACCCTTTCTTAACGACAATAATAAACTAAGAGATAACAAACAAGTCTTAGCATGGAGAAAATTAAATTTGATTTCAAATGCCTCTGTCACTTTCTCAGGCTGTGCCTGTTGCCGCCAGTGCGTGATGCTTCGTACCTATTGCATGGGAAAGAGATGAGTGGAGGTCGTGGCTTTCCCATCCAAATAAATCCGTAGTTCTCTTTAGAAGTTTCTATTTCCTGCACCGTCTCGCACATGTTGGACAGAAGAGTTTCGGGCAGCCACAGGGACATCAAGGCGGCGATAATGGTAAGAATACCCAGTATAACCAGAGGCAAAGTCACAGACACACCAGGCAACTGAGCCTACAAGCCCCCAAAAACACAATCAAATGAGTTACGATGTCAACGCAGATTGGAAACGATAAAGAAACTAGAATATTCGTGGCTTTCTTTGATTCGCAATTTTGAATGTTATGATAACACGCGAAAACAAACCCTTTGTTGAGAGAGTTACCATGAGGCTCAAATCTCAGGCAAGGTGAAGCGCAAACTTTCTGCTTCAAATCTCCAGCGTAAACCTGCTGAATACGACAGACTCCTTTTCACTTATCTTACCCCTCGAAATGGGACGATGTACAATCTCAAAATAACTGTTACCATTAGTAGGGAGCGGCTGACCAGATTGAAAAGTGAATTTCCCTTAGGTTTGTTAAAAATTTCTTCACACCAGCAAATACAATTTATAAAGTGTCTGGTTTGTGCAGCGAAGTGTGATTGACAGTATGCAATGTACGGGCTCGAACGACCAAATTCGAGCCATGAAAAGACTATGAATATTTCTTGGGGAAAAATTTATTCTGCCATGTTTCTTTTATTTCCGATGGTGCAACTCACCAGTGCAATGATGAAAGGAACAACCATGCCTCCGATACGAGAAAAAGTCGAGCAAGTACCAAGAGCCATATTCCTACAAAAGAATATTAATTATTTGGATGCTACCGTCAGTGAAACGTTCTGACGTAAGACAAAAGGATTCTTGGCGTTGCAACGAAAGATGCGAGATATTACCACCTACTTTTTTAAGACTGAAGGTTTGAAACTGCTTTCGAGAACATCAAAAGCGCTTCAGATATCATCGGAAATCTTCGAGCAGTTGACGTTTATCATTCGTGATTATGGTTCAGATTACCTGATGGTCGTGGGGTACAATTCACTACTGTACAAGTATACGTTCGAGAACGAGGCTGATCCAAAGAATCGTCCAATCAGCGCCAATGCCGTTATTAAACCTTTCAGATCTATTTGGACAAAGGGCACCATGCCAATTATTAAGCTTTATTTCAGTATTTCTTAATTACAATCTCTCGTTTAAACTGTCCGTTATCACTAGAGTATGTTTCGATCTAGTTGCATTTGGAGAGCTGGATCGAGAGGAAAAGTCATGTCATCTACCAGGAGCAATGGGCTCCTGCATCTAGTTATCAGTTGAATTTTTCAGTGAATGTATCCAGGTAATTTTGTACACAGGAGACGAAACAACTTTAACAGATGTCCCTCTTGCGACATCTCTCTTAAGTTCTTATTTTTCCTACTAGAGAAACAAGTTTGACTATATAAAAACCAATTACAATGAGTTTTGTCACCAACCTTCCGGAACAAGAAGAACGAACAGACACGAAAGACCGCTGATCATCATGAACACGCAATGCGGAATACGGCGACCAAACCTGAGAGACGGAAATACAAACTGAGAATATAATATTATCACGGGGGAACGTAAATAGGTGGCTGCTACCCCAAAGAAAAGAAAGACGCAGGCCATCTTAGGGGAGGGGAGTGCGCACCCCCTGCCTTCCTCTTAATCCACTCCAGAATGAACTAAAAAAATTAAAGCTGTCAAGTGCTTACTGTTTGAACACAATCCATGCCATGGGAGTGTGTGGTAAATCACTCACAAACATCAGAAAAATGTTTAGGTACATATTACCAGCCAAGCTTGGGACATACAGCATAATTCCGTAAAATATCATGCTCAGAACAAGCCTAAAAAACAAAACGTAAAAGATCAACTTTGGTTAAGAAAATTGATTGTACATCACTCAGAATGGAAGTTGCTATCGAATGAAATGAGTATGTTTAAAGAACGAACCAGTTATAACAAAGAATCACAGTTCTTCTTCTCAATCTTGGTGTGCGCACGAGATTAAGAGGTGACCGCTTGACCTCAGACGCAACTCTCTTCGAAGCCGCTTTGCATTCCTCCAACATGGACATGAGGGTCTCTGAGTCAACAGTCACGGAGTTCTTGTCAGCGTATTTCATAAGAATGGCATGAGCAGATTCTAAACGACCACGAGCAACCAGCCATCTTAAAGACTCCGGAAATACGCTGCAAAAGAAATGTTGAGATAAGATTTGAAAATAATAGGGCTGTTGAACGCGGACAAAATAATGACTGTTGTCATTGCTTTTCAGTGTTACGAAATTCTCGCTAGATGGAAAGTTAATGCCAAAGTTATTCTGTTTCTGGTTTATGTTGTGATTGGAGCGTAACAGGAAGAGGTGGCGGGGGTGGGGGGATGTCAGAGACTCCCTCACCTTTTGTTAAAAACGCGTGAATCCGGAGAATTTACATGGCATACAAATCTCTTCCAGTTCTTAACGTTCCATTTGGCCGTCCTTCCGGCAGCGTGAACACGAGCCCGCTGATACACGAGTTAAAGCAGCGGGCAGCGGTACAATCTCGAACCCGGGCATCTCGATCCAAGTCTAGCGCGCAAACTACCAAACCAACCCCTCTTTCACCTTCTTTGGCTCTGAGTGGTTTTTTTCAATCGACATTTATTTTTTCTTCTGTATCAAAATCCATTTTCGACTCTATCAGTGACTTCGTATTTGGTTCTATTTACACACCCACCTCCATAAAAGATAGAAGAGGCCCGCTGGAATACTACCGATCAATAGCACTTGTCTCCAGTCTCTAACCAAGTAGGCAGTCATGACCGTGATGCAAGCGCCTATGACCCAGAAGACATCCTGCACTTTTCCAGCCAGAGTGCGATAGCTGCACCCTACCAGCTCCAAAATGTAAACATAGTGCCCCACAAACAGACCGGTTATAGCAGCACCCGCGCAGAAGCGGAGGAAAGTAAAAAATGACAAACAGTCCGCAAAACCTGACGCCAGGCTAAAACTCAGCTAAAATAAGAAAAATGAAAGGTCGCAGTAAGAGGTGAAGTGTGACAGAATATCACATTTTGCGACCGAGATAAGAAGTCAAAATAGGAAAATGTAATTTAAATCTCCCAAACAGCAGCAACTGGAAGATTCAACTTTGAATACCTTTCTTGACTGAGCAGCAAGTGACCAGATATTAATTTCTCTTCGACCAAAAATAAGAACCTTGGTTAGTTTCAGCTAGCTTGCAGTACCCGTGTAATTTTGATTTTCAATTTACAACTTGATAATCGGCCTACATTTTAGAACGACTTACTCTGTTAATTCAGAGTGTAATGCACACATACATTACAGGCTCTAAAGACTGGCCTTGGCCCTTAAAGATATCGCATAGGTTCTTTATTGACTCACGCGCTATGTGCAGACCAGAAAACTAGACTCACCGCTAAAGCACTGCATAAAAAAAGACAGAACCTCCTTCCGAAGAAGTCTGATATCACGCCAAAGAAGATAGATCCTGCCATCATACCAGCTACAAATAACGACTGAACCAAGGCAGCAATATTTTTCTTGTCACAAATCAGATTCCACTGGAAAAAAATGGTTTTATGGTTTTATAAACTTGGTGAACCTTACTGGTACATGACGGGAGTACCCAAGGGCTATGCGAGTGTCTTTATTCTCCCCAGGCCTCTCCATAATCAGCGCTTCAGCAGAAGCGTTTTTTACACCCGCGGGAAAGTTTGAGGCCTTTAGCAACGCGAGTCCACGAGAAGTCTCCCCGACTCGTTTAAAGTCTTCGAGGGCCTGCTCTTAGGCTACTGTCGTTTATGCTGATCACGATATGCACATCTATCCGCGTCTGTTTCAGTGCTTGAGACGCCTAAACGACGTACGTCTATTGGGAGGACTACACGCTTCTCTCCCCTTCCCCCAGTGATCAATTTGCAAGAACTGAAGGTTAACCCTCCTATCGAAACTTACCTCAGTCACAGTGCTTGTAAAGGATTTGTCGAAAGCATAAGTGGTACAGTTGTCACAACACTTGCTTTCCTCGCAAGTGACGTTGGGTGTCACGCAATGAAACTTTGGTGTACCAGTGGCGAACACTAGCGAGGCTATTTGAATGGCACTCGGGACTATCACAAGGAAGCATGATGAAAAATACAAAAACTTCTGCCATAAACCAAATTCACCAACATAACGTAAGATGTCGTCAATACGGTGGGTCTCGGAGTCTTTTTCTTTGGCCATTCTGTCAAATAGTTGGGTGAAAAAAGGAAAAAAAAAATTCAAACATGTCAAAATGTAGTTTTCGACGAATTCAAGGCTAATTTTCTCTCCTACACTATGAAGGATACACTGGAGGGAAAACTTTCACTGATTAATTCAAAGAAGAAGAATTATTAGGTTAGTTTGTTCGCTTTGGTTTAAAATATCTATTAAAAAGGCTAATTTTGAATTTTTTACCTATTCCTAACAAAAGGCACCAATAATCAAAACCTTGAACTCCCTAGGATCACCCTCAGGAAATAATTCGAGACCAGCAAAAATATTTCAAAAAGAAGACAAATGGTGGAAAAATTGAACAAACAAATAATGGGCGAGACAGTAACAAATATAAATTTAATTTCTGCGAGCCATTTTAAGACACTACATGCGCTTTTTAACCCCTTTTTTGTCTTGGAAAATAGTGACCGTTTCATGATAATACGTTCTTAGTTCCTTTCATTTATTCTCTAGCCGATAAAGATCTCTAAAAATCCCTTTTTCTTTTGTGTATAATCAGTCCAATAAAAAAGTTACCCTGATTCTTTTAACGGAAATAAATATAGAAATGACTAAACTAAAAAAAAAAGCAAACAAACAAAGAAAAAATTAAGGGTGGATGGCAAATGACGATCTTGGTTTGACGAAAAAATTTAAAAAAAGAAGGGTCATAAAGAATAATCTCTTCCAAAGTTTACCGAAGCTCTAATCCAACTAACGACCAACATTTGTTATGAATGAAAGAACCGAACTGATGATAGAACCAGGCGTGAGGTCAAGATGACTGGAAATCAGCCATATTTCTTTTCGTTTGTTTTGGTAGAAACGAGATCGAAGACAATAAAAACACTCTGAAAGGAAAGAGATCGTCTAAATAGAACACTATTTTTCATTCAAGGATTGATTTCAGCCAAAATAATACACCGAAGTCCTTGAGTTTTTGCTAGAACGTACAGAACGGCTCGGGTAAACCGAGCAAGCAAGTCAGTTCTTTGTCGCTTACTCGGTTGGCAAATTAGAACAAAGAATTCCCTGTATCCAGCACATTCATTCCGGGTGGAATATGTAAGACAAAGATAACTTTTCTTAGACGCCATGGCAATAACATATGCTACCTGAAGAATACTTACTTTCTTCAATTAGTTTAGACCTGATGCAGTTATGGTATAAGATGTCTCCGAAAGGCAGACCATGAACACCTATGAATATTATTACTTTTGAACATAGTAAGATGACACGTATGTTGTGTTCACATAGATGTCGAATTACCAGGGCATTTTCTATAATAATAACCGCACGCAAATCGGGAGATGTTAAAAACCCTCTCTTTATTTAGTGGTGTAGTTTCTCGCTATTTTTTAAATCAAAGAATACAAGTGTTATCTAAGAAACATTAAAAATTAGATTGCGTTCTTTCTATACTATTTCGGTGGAATTCGCAGTTTTCGTGCTTTTTCTGGTCGAAAATTAATGCCACCTACCAACCGACTTATCCACGTCTAGATTTTGTTGAACTGTGAACATTTCGCACAAACCTAGCAGAAACGAACTGTTCCAGTAAGTTAAATATTACCTGTGTTTGTGGACCAAGACTAACGTGCACCTTGAACTGCACAATGGCAGCTAAATAGTTTGAAATACTCACGGACATTTTAGTTCATCACAGTTATGATTATTTCTTCTTACCTTAGAAGTTACTTGTTGATGCTATTGCACAAAAGAGTTCTCACTGCTTTCAGCGAAGCTCGTGAAAAAGGGTTTAGAGAAGCAAAACGTTATTGCCGCAATAAATGCCTCTTGTTACTTTGGATTTTTTTTTTCTACGTGATGTTTATTTGACCCAAAGTGACAATAGTAATCAGACACAGGTGCTGACAGACGATCAGCATGTGAATCGTAACACAAGGGTGCAAACACGATTGACGGGTAACTTTGTAGAAAAGAAAATGGTGGCGCGCGCAACAGGGATTTGTCGATGAGAACAATCGTTTCCGTTTTCTTTTAGCAAAGTGAGACTTACACGAAAGCGAAGGGGTGCAAAAAATTAGGAGCAGGGAGGAGGGGGTGGGAAGCCGGTTGCTGAAAGACATGTTACCGAATGTCGTACGAAAGCTAGCGAAACACCTGCCTGGCGACTTAATACGCCGATCGCAGCGATCGACGAAAATCGCCAGTTGTGTCCAGTGTGGCGCTTGCCATTTTTGCCGATCGTCGCGATCGGCGCATAAAATCGACGTTATTTGACATGTCAGATATTGGCGAATTTAATCGACGCGATCGGCGAATAAACATGATAAAATCGCCAGGGGTGTCTCCTGCCTAAGGGGGTCTTCTAAACTATTGGGTGGCAATGCAATATCACGAGTGATGAATTATCCGTCAGTCAAGGCGATTGATCGTTAACCTACATTTATTAGAATTCAGTTTACAGATTAGATCAGAGAAGTTTGCTCCTTTCATTCAATAAGTAACAGGGGCGCGATTTGACGGTCTCAAGCTAAGTATTCTTCATTCTTTCGCTCTGCGTTTCCAACTAGTCTCGTCTACTTACTGAACGCTTGTAATAAGCTAGGATTGAATTCAAACAAGAGCGAAATTGCTCTTCACGAGATTCAAATTCATACTGATTCAGATTTGCAGAGAATTGCTGCTTTTTTTGTTTGTTGTTTTTTTAGCAGAGTTACATTATCACAGCCGTGAAGGAGCATTGTGTGCCATAACTGATGAGGAAGAAACGACAGACATTTTTTCTTGGTGCACGCAATATTCAGTATCGAAGGTGTTACATCATCATGGGCTAGAAAACCTGAATTGTTGCCAACCTCATCAGTTCCTGAGTTCACCTATCCGTGAGGAAAATCGTGTAAAAAACGAAAGGTGATAAATTAGTAGATAGAAATATGAGGGAAAACCCCTCGGCAACGGGGAAACCCCCTTGGTGTGGTGGGAACCTATCCGCGGCTTTGAGGTGAAAGTGAAACATAGGAAACCTCATTAAACATTTATTTCGAAAACGAAACCTCAGGTAAATATATTTTATCTTTTAACCAGCTGCTAATTATATAAAATATTAAAAGTTTAATGCTTTGTGTCCCTCTAAAAAGCCTTTTATAAGGAAATCCGTTTTTTCTTTTCCTTGGTAAAGACGATTGACTTTAATTTTTGTTTGGTCAATCCATAACAAGTTCATTGCCGAAAAGAAACAAATTAATTTGTATCCGAAGAATGGAAATTGGTTCCGTAAACAAACATACGACACCAGAAAGGGAGAGATTAAATTTGTTCGTGAAAACCCACTTTCATAATATTCCTGACGTGTCTAACCTTCGCGGTCGTCATTCTTGTCACGCGACGTGAAACACGACAATGTAAATCACACCATTTTCAAAATGCAGAAACATGCACTGCCTTAAAAAACTTGCTGCGCGAAGCTTTTTGCATGTCATGGCAAAACCTTGAAAGATCCTATGATTTTGACTCTATAATTGGATCGAATTACTTCCCTCCCTCGCGGCAGTTTCCGCCCGAGAGTGAAAGTCTAGTGTCCATCGATCAATCCTTATCTGCTCAAAAGGACAAATCCAATTAGTACGAATATTGGTGAAGAAATATTTCTTATGGCTGAGGAGGTCTCGACCAATTCTCGTTGGTCTAGGTAAATTTTTTTTTATGTTATTTCGCTATATGTTATGTCTTATTCTTTAATGAACCTATCGCAAACTTTTATTTTGATCATTTGGGAAGAAAGCGCGACAGATACGTAGGTAAAGTGCGCCTCACCAGGTATTCGTCTCAGTCTGTTTTGATTTGTATCACTCTGTAACGCGCTGAAACGAGTGACCTTTGACATTTTTGATGTTTCAACAAACATCACCTTGAAGGTTTTCACGAGGTATGCGATCATAAGCTTACCGGCGAAGCGGAACAAGGAAATAAAGCGCGGCGGTGATGTGCAATCGACTCCTTTACGGGACCTGGTTAATTCCAAGATAAACCATCTGCCTATTTCTCAACTGAACAACCACGGCTCTTGGTTATCGGTTCCTTCAGGTTTGAAGACATCATTGCATACCGTAAGTTATGTAGACGCACTTCGTTCAGTCCTAGAAGACAGCCGAAAAAGATTCTCTGTGATTCCATTTTTTAAGCAGTCATTGACAAAATCTTATGTTCCATGTTTCGTTTTGTTTCCTCGTCCTTCTCGGGGATAGCCACCTCGCAAGCGTATAATCACGAACAGTAATGATTACGTTTTTGACTTAACCGAGTCTTCACTGAGTTTTTAAGCAGTCATTGACAAAATCTTATGTTTCATGTTTCAATTATAATCACGTTAATGATTACGTTTTTGACTTAACCGAGTCTTCACTGAGTTTTCTGATCGTGCAATTGTTTTTCGACTCCTAGGAATAGAAGAGACAGCTGATATCTCTGAGCATACCTAAATCGTAACCGAAATTCAGAGATGGGTAAGTGCTGGAAAATTATATTTATTACAGACTTCGCTTCTGAGAGGTCGCTATATCGATGAATTTCCGGGTGGCGAATAGTCCTCTCCTTCACGGCACGATCACTAGTTAATCTTTAGCTAAGTGATTTCATTAGAGATATTGAATCTTAAAACTTAGTCAAATGGGAATCTGACATTTTAATTCTAGTCCACCTTCCTATCAGATTAATGTTTTTGTTTCCTCTTTTATTTGCTTGCGTGTTTGATTTTTTCGCCTGAGCGCGCATTACTAGTGAAGTCCAAGATTTAAATTTCTGAATTCAAATTTTTTTAAGAATTGTGTGCGAATCTTTTTAAGTTTTTTGCCAAACACGTCCTTGATGTTGAACTTGCCAGTGAAACAACCTTTTATAAAGTTTTTCCTCGTAACTTTCACATAGTTATTCAACAACATCGACTTGCAATTACTAGTATTGCATAACTTGCAAAATATTATATGGAAAATTCAGGCTCCGAAATTCCAAGTTGCAGCGGCAAAAATGATGTAATTGTTGTACACCAGGTCACTTGACCGTGAAATGAAATGAACATACAAGTAATCATGCAGTTTTCTTCAGTTATTACCTTATCACATTTGCAATGATTGCGTGACACAGTCCCAATCTTGTATTATTAGACCATAACAATCTGTGAGAGATTTCGCGACTTTTAGGTCTTTGGAGGGGAAGGGGTGTGGAAAAATTGATTTTGGGATCACGTTATTTTTTTTAGGGGAACGGAGGGGGGATCAGTTGTCGCCAGCAGAGTATAGAGGGGGACAGTTAAAAAATTGACTGCCAATTAGCCGTCAATAACGGGGGATATCATTAATTTTACACAGCCAAAATCCTTCCACCCCCAGTCAATGATTAACAACCGGTCTCTAACTGTTGATAATACATCTTCGGGCTGTTCAGGCACGTGATATCCATATTTGGCCTCTTTTCCCTTTCGCGAGGCTTGTTCTTGTGTATATGACTCGGCGTCAAGCAGAGGGAAAAACCCCGACTCTGAAACTCCAATTTGCAGTGGCAAGTTGGATGTACTTGTCGTGTATCAGGTCATTTGAACATGAAGTCAAAATGAATATACAAATAATCATGCAGTTTTCTACAGTTATCATTCTATTATATTTGCAATAATAGCGTTTCACGGTGACTGTAACAATCTGTTTATAAAACTTCCTCTGACTGCTTCTATATTTAGCCTCTTTTCGCTTTCGTGGGCCTTGGTCATGCGTAAATGACTTCGCATCTTAGCAGCACAAATGTAGAAAGTTAACTCATTCCCTCTGCTGAATAAACTATCCTCCAGCCGAGGTCGACAATCAGTGTCCCAAGCTGATGTTTATCCACTAGATGCACAATTTTTCATCGCATGAAGTCCCATTATTATTTCATTGAACACTCTTCGCCGGAATAATATCACTCAGAAATTGTTAATATCTCTGACTTTTGATGTCGCTACAGATTGTTTCATTGACGCGATCGATGCAAAACATCAGTTAACCGAGTCCGTCATCCATACACTGCGACTGCCTGAGAAAATTGGAGACAAGTGGAAGGACTTAGCAAGAAAACTGGGCTACATTGAATCCGTCGTTAATGCAATTCAAACTGAGGAAAATAACATTCCAAAGGAATGTTGTATCACTGTCCTTGTACGATGGATGGAACGAGAAGCAGAGGGTGCCACTGTCGAAAGGCTTGCACAAGTTTTAACGGAAATAGAACTGAAGAATCTCTCCCGATTACTAAAAGGTAGGAGACCGTGAAAAGGCATAAGACAATTTATTATATTGGTGGCTACGCCCGTAGGCAAGATGAAGTGAACCTATGTGCTGATTGGCTACCCAAGCAAGCAAGATGAGCACCCCTTGACTACTTGATCGGGATTGCACCGTTTTGATCCCGCGCCAGAAGGTTCTTTAAAAATTTGCGTGGAGCCGACTTACAAACTCTCTAATTTTTGGACAATTTCGTTAATAGAGATGCAAAAAGCGGCAGAAGACAGTCAAAACAAAGATTTATGCGATTTAAGTCAATTTAAGCTCAGTTAAAATCTCATCGCAAAATTTCCTCAATGCATGTAATACTTTTTCGTAGATCACGCATTGGGTGTCGAAGTGGATGTTGTTGGATCAGACGATCGAGGCCAAGTAAGTCCTTACAATTATAGAAATAAGTCCTTAAAATTAAATAAAATTGGATAAAAAGTGTAAGCTTCCTGAATATTTGACCGAATCTATACCACAATACCATCGGTAAGCTTAAACCGAAACAATGCAACCTGGCATACAGACGTGCGCAAAACCTGCCTTTAAGGAGAGTTTGAAGGTATTTGTTGAAAATAAAGGGTTCGGAGCCGCTAAATTTCAAGTTCTCCTCTCGACACCCACCCGGTTTATCCGTACATTTGTACGCGAGGCTAAATTGAATGTTGAAATTGAAAGTTGGCAAAAAGTAGCTTATTCAAACTAGCTAAACCTGTGTATCGTTCTTTATTTCAGGTTGACAAATTGCAGAAGAAAATAATTGAAATACAAGCAAACGCGAAGCAATTGGAGGAGGAGGTGGCGAAATAATTCTTAATTGACTGTTAAGCTTTTGGAGAGTGAGCGAATTAACTGAAAATCCAATTTTGTTTGTATTTTTCTAAAGGGTTCCAAAGTGAAGGCAAAAATGAAAGAATTAGAAGAAAAACTTGCAGTGATGACACAGGAAAAGCAAACCTTTGAAGAAAGAGTGAGTTTTTAATAAAATCACGTATCTTATGCGATCGCCGTTTATCTCCGGGACTTCTGGATTATATCTATTCACTGAATGGCTGAAGCGAGAGTCAAAATAAAGGAGGAAAAAGGTAAACAGTGCAGACAACATCCAGGCTCACGATGAAATTGAATATCAACTGAAAAAATTGCTATTAATACCTGATGATTTTGTTCTTCTCATGAACTTCATTGAACAACTTAGCCTCTGACGTAGCCAGGCGGGATGGTCTAAGGGCACCCGAGGGATGCGAGAAGAATGGGGATTAATCAAAAAGCTGCTCCGCAACTTGCGGTGATGTGCTGGCCGGTTGGGCTAATTTGCCTGTATAATTCTTACAAAAAGCAAGTGAATGAATCTCTTTACTCAAAGCTAATTGTTTGCTTTTATGACACAGTGCCAGAAATTGCAAGAGGTAAACTCAGATCTGGTAAAAGAACTGCGAGATTTCAAACAGCAGATCCAAGCCGGGAGTTCTAAACAGGTAGGAAAGTGATTTAGAGGCTACTAGGGTCACTAAGTGTTTATAGAATTAACTCTGAGGGTAACATAATATCATTTACTTCGGCATGGACGCCAGCAGGATTTTTCAGTTGGCGGTCGGTCCTACATTATGTCTTTTTGGCATTTGAAGGCATGTCAGGCTGTCTTGGGAACCAGTCCTCAGTTATAGCCGGGAAGGGAGGAGGGGAGGGGGGAGTTGAGGATTGTCGGGGAGAACGTGGTTTTTAGGGGGAATGGAGGGGGGACCACTTATCACCAACAGAGATTAAAGGGGGGTATAGAAAATCAACTGCTAGAAAGGAAGGGTAATAAGAATATCACAGAGCCTAAAGGGTGGATCAGGAAAATTTTATCATGAGACACCCCCACCCCCCTCCTGCGATAGATAAAAGCCGCCCCCTTCGTAGTAAAAACTTTCACTTCCTTTTAACAAAAGTAGTGGTGGACCTTACTTCTTTTCTATTTTAAGATTTACCCCTAGGAATGATTTCTGTGCACCACCATTCCTTCATTAAAAATGGGCGTTTAATATCACAGCAGAGATCAGACTAATAAAGAACGAGAGATCGCTGTTCAGTTGAGGCTTCTCAGTGAACGACTCTACGAGGGCGTGATATCTCCGCTGCAAGTTTCGGTAATGATATTGTGCACCACCATTCCCTCACTGAAAATGGGCGTCTAACATCGCTTTCTGTTTTCTTCGTAGGATGTCAAAACTGGTTTGGATTCACCACGAGAGGAGGAATCAGAAAACACCAGAGATGAGACTAATACAGAACAAGGGATCGTTGTTCAGCTAAGGCTTCTCAATGAACAACTCATCGAGGGCGTGATATCTCCGCTGCAAGTTTCAGAAGTAAAAGAGGACAAACTTAAGACTTCTGTCATGGTAGACCTACTGATCAGACTGAGTATGACGCTGCAAGAATTATACAGCACCACCCTGTCCATGGTTACCAAGTCCTGCAAATGCAGCGAGAATGTGAAACGCGAATTTTATGACTTCGCGTATCATGGTCTTCGAGCTGAGCACAACGATTTGATGCACCGAGTGGAGGAGTTAACATCAGTCGAAAAAGAAATGACAGGCGAGGAGCAAAGCGAACTTTCTAAACTGAGAGAGCTCCAGAGTAACCGACAAAGGCTGGTTGATAGATTGGAGAATCTGTGGAGAGGTCTGTTCTCACCGGTAGGGATACACGATTTGTTTAAAATATGAAAATCATGTTTCTCAAATAGCTCACATCACTCATGTTAGAAAGAAAGAAATCCTGAGATCTCCAAACAGGGGTCGAATCTACACAACTTTCTATTTCTTCTTCAGTGCTCTGAACTATCGCCGCACGATGGACATCTCTCTAAATTTTCAACGGACCAAAAAGATCGTAGGAATGGCATCAACAGTTTTGCATGTTTTCTCTTTATGACTCAGTAACGTCCTTTCCTTGTTTATAGCAAATAAACCAGCAAAAAAACAAACAAAGAAACGATCACCAAAGAAACAAAGGAATAAGCTGATAGGATAGGTGAACGAAAAAGCGTAGAAATTAGGGAATATACAGCTACCAGGCATACATAGACTTGGGTAAGTTCGTGACCGAAAATTCGAACACTGACATTGTGATCACAAATAAGTTGTGCACTCACGATGAAATCAGAAACTAAAACTCTGGCGCATAAAATGATTCAAATTTGTGAAAAGAAATTATTTGTGTGTCTTCTTTAAACTTCAGTATGAGAGTCGTCCAAAAGTAACATGCTCTGAACCCTATGGAGCAAGTGGATGTTCTGCTGACTCTGAAAAGGTGAGATAGGTTTAGCAGCGAATCACTTTACCTCTCATGATTACTCGTACCTTACTCCGAAGAACCTTTCCTCCGTCTTTTTCATTTCTGTCGTCCCCGAGCAGTTTGCCACGTCAACAATGACCATTTTTATTCGCAGACAAGCCAAAGGACACTGGGTTTTTTTTTAAAATTTTTTTATAAATTGGTTTGTTTGTCGGTTTATTTTCATATTTACCTTGAAATGCCACTCAAAGTTTAATTACAGATCTACTGAGAACAAAAAAGTGGCAAAATGGTTTGGAAACTTAAAGAAACCACGAGGCAGAACTACTACCTGAGCTTCCTTACTAAAATACGTTTTGTTACAAGAATTAATTTATCAGTGATCACGAGAGAGATCATGGAAAAACGACGGCAAACACTGAATAAAACTTCAGGGGCGTAGCCAGGCTTTTTCAAAAGGAGTGTCGTCACTGTGTCAAGCAGTTCTCACCAGTTTTCCTTTTACTTAAAAAGGACTTACAAAGGAGGCTACACCATTGAACTTATGATAGCAAGAAAGGAAGAAGCGAAGGATGTTAGAATTAAGTTATCATGTATCTCCTCAACTTTCCCTTTTCCCTTTAACACCCACGAGTGACCAAGACATAATTTCTCCTTACAATGTCAATGCAATATCAAGCAGGTAAGTGACGAGAATGAAGAAATTATCAATTAAAGGATTTTCAGTTGATCCAATACCAAATTCTCCCAAACAACATCGTAGTAATTGTATGACAGACGCCAAGGAGAATTACCAATGAGATCCTGGGGATGAAAGGGTTAAAAGGGTTAAAAGTTACAACACATACTGAATTGTGAACCCAATTCTTTGAATATCTGGGTTAGCGTATGAAGCTTACGTGTAGCCGTACCTCCCCCCCCCCCCAAAGGTAAAGCCTTATGGGGGAAAGGTAAGGCCACACGTAGGCTATAGCGTATGAAGAATGTCTAACTAGAAAAGGGAGAAGACCATTCAAATTTTAAGTAATGTAAGACTTTTTCCTCTGATACTTAGAACTTGCAACGATACCATTCATATCCACGTGAACAGAACACAAGCACAGCGGCAGCTACAACAAGCGACGACGAAACACATGAAGGGTGTATCCCAAATCCAGTGAGTAAGGCCCTAACACATTACCAGGGCCACTGAGCTGTGACTTATGGGCATGCGCTAACTTCCCAGTCCTCTATTGTTTTTCTGCCAAAATTTTAATTCTCATGAAAAGTGATCCTTTTTTTTTTTCCTTGCAGTTCAAGGGGACAAAGTTGAAGAACCCTTTCAAAAGAATAGGAAGTCAACATCACTCATGTCGCCTGGTGTCCTACTCTGTTAAAGACCCCCAGGGGTTCCGTTTAAATTGAACGAGTAGTTAACAAAAATTTAACCAGCTAGTCGTCGCTTACAAAGTCTTATTGTAGCAGTTCCTAGATCTTAGAGGAGAGCTAAAATGGCGTAGATATACGTAGTTATCGTATTTTAGCCAGAGAAGGTTTAAACATGATGAAGATTCTCGCAACAAACACATCCCGTCGAGAAATGAGGACTTAGAAGCACACGGGATAACCTGGACACGACTTCCGTTGCCTGAGCTATCGAGCGCGCCAGGAAAACTGGGTCGAACCCTTCAAGTCGAGGCTTATCGCAAAAGACTATTTTGTGACAAATTCCCATCTCTCAAAAAGAGAAACTTCTAGCACGACATTATCACCAGCCAAATCAAACGCGGGTAACTTCTCCAGAGCCCCGTTTTCACTTTTAACAGGCAGTGACGCTTCCACTCTTTATGCGCTTACTTTTGTCAAAGTTATCTTTCCCATTCTACAATACATTACAATATTCTTTATTTAACGAAGGTGACGTAATTAACCCAATGAGTTATCTAACTTACGGCCTTCACAGCAGTACAAAGACGTAATGACTGATCAGCAAAACGACTTACTACGAGAGAAACTAAAACTAGAAATTGTATGGTTTAACACTGATACCTTGATTCTCTTCAGCTTCTGGCTGACGCGCGGAACATATCTTTAGTCAAAAGCATCAATGCATTGAAGAATCTATCAATTAAAATTTTTGACATTTTGAAATTTCAATTAGTTTTTCATAGATAGCATGTGAACTTTACAAGATTTGTAGATCATCGAATTGTCTGAACTGAAAATTTAGGCTTTTATAACAGTTGTAGATAAATACATATTTGTAAAAGTTAAAAGGTATCCTTTTTTCGGGATCCATTGAATTCACGCGTAAGAATAATATACTTGTAATATACTTATGGGACTTTCAAATGTGAAAACATTGTAAATTGTATATAATATCCATTATTTTAACAACCCTGCGTTTTGGCTTATTTATCGCTACAGCATGAGATCATCTACTCCAATGAAACCTTGAAAATAGCACATTAGGTATATCGATAAAATATGTTTGCTCTGAATTTCTTAAAGTTTGATTTAGCGTAAGGTCTGTTATGCGATCGAGCCTTGTATCCTCACCCTATAGGAAATTCGAAGGACGTCATCAGTTTTTTAATTCCAGCGGCCAACATCCCTTAAAATTTGACTTTTTCGCACGTTTTTGTTGTTATAGTGTTTTCCATTTCGAGAGTAGAACTGTCTCAAATTTTTTACTACGTTTTTCACGCGACTCTAAAATGCCGGCTGAGAATGCCACGCATGTAAAAATATTTTAAGATTTTTTGGCCAGCGTAAAAGTTTGTCTCTTGAGCTTTTGAAGAATAAAAAAATGCCTTAAGTATAAAAGCTACTTGTTCAAGTTCTGATGCTTAACTAATCACTTTTTTTACCGTAACTGGAAGATGTTTGCACATAATCTTCCGGCCGCCTTATTTGTGCCCCTCGGAAGACCACATATTTACCATCCTGTATTGAGTGCATGTTAATGTTGTAAATGTATGTTGGAGATTTTGGCACGTACTGTGGAAAAACCGCAAATACTAGCGACTTGTTTCCGATTTAGGCTGGTTGTTTGTTTATCAATATTTCACAATGTCTCAAATTCTTGCCTTTACGCATTCAATATTTTTATTTTAATTGTCGATGCCTTGTCGGTGCCGAACCACTAATATTAGCAGGTACCTGCGTTTGGACAACGCACTGGTATTATGCATTCTTTTAAGGAAATATTTTCCATAGCTAATAGTCTGTCTTTCCAAATTTATACATTTTTCAGATGTCACTAGTCTCATCGGGCAAAGAACACGATATATTTGGACCAAGTCTGGACTCAGTCTAGACACAAGGCAGAGGCGGCGGCGGGAAGTGGGGGAAGGGTGGTCGACTGCTGGGGGTGGTAAGGCGTGATGAGGTAATAGGTGAGGACTCGGGAAGATTTACGACTCCATCGAACTTACCTAATGTTTTAGTTTCTTTCCCTTTTACTGGATAGAACACTTGAATAAATAATCTCTTTAAACTCCATTACAAAGCATCTTTAAATCGGTTTCCACTTTGTCCGATGTTTGCTTGGTTTTTTTTTTCGGAAGCTGTTAAGCGATATTTGAAAATTTTCAAAGCCAGTTTATGACAAGTGATTAACACTTAAATTTTGCCGCAGTTTTCTAAAAAAATTGTATTGCGAATCACTGAACAGCGACTTCTAGGGTCACTTAATTTTTCTTTTTAATTTTCCATTCTATGTTGTTTGTTTTATCATCATCATTATTTCTTTTCTTTGAAGAGAAACATGACCACAATTATAGGTAAACATTGGATGCAACTAGGAACTTTCGGATATTCCGCCTCTACGCTCACCCCACCCCACCCCAACCTACCGAAGTTAAGCTATACATATCATTACGGAACCGCAGACCTGCACCGAAGAAACAGCTGAGAGAAAACGGCTGTACGTATGATCCATGTCTATGTTGCGGTTTTGATTTGATATTTGAACTTCAATTTTGATATAATTATAGATACCTATATATAATTCTTATGTTAATCTTACCACCAATGATCTGTCAGTGCTATCACGAGTTTCACGCAATATCACTTACATTTCATTGTGTAGGCGCGTTTGTCTGAGCCTTGCAAAATTTTAAATTTTCGGCATTTTTTGCGTGTGTTTCTCATTCCTACAAATCGTTACATACACAGAAGATCATGAAGTGAGCTGCTGAATCTTTCTACAACAGACTCTCTTATCTCGGTAATTTTAAGTTCTGTTGTCGATGCTCTCTCTCTTAATTGGTATGGTGGTTGTTTTAGTTGTTGTTTTTTTTCTTTTTCCTAATAGTTTACAAACGTTTCTAAAGCGTGGTCATTTTACCCGGCCTCCAAGTACTTGTCTTGATATAGAGTATTTGATCGATTTTGTTTAGGTTGATGTGTTGGGCGGGAACTCCGATCTGTGTTCGGGCTCGTCCTCAAGCACACACCTGATTGGTGGCTATTTAAATCGATGACTCAGCCATTTATTCATTCTTCCGTTTCTTGCAATCTGCAGGCTGTCGTATGGAAAGCGCTGGCACGTTGTAATATATTTGCCCGTAGTTTTCAAATGAAGTGTGGGCGGATTTGTTGGGCACTGGGATTTTAGTACGCGTGTTCAGGATTTGGCATTTCCGTGTTTGCAGCTTCTAGTAAACAACTTGTGCTGAATACGAATTTCGCTTGATGTTTTGCCTAGCTGCAGTAATTTGAGCGTGACAGTTTTTCTGTTTATTTGATTTTTTTTCTAAAAATCACGGTCTTTTGATTAAATTATAAGTATTGTTAATCGAATTTCGCTTAAGTCAAGGAGGAAGCAAAAACAATGACCAACTCTTTTCGTTCGAGCGAAGAAAAGATGGCCTCCCTAACTCCGCGAGAGGCTAACTCCGACTTCGATTTCGATGAATTCTTTGAAAGGTACGGTCCGCTTGACAACGTGGACGCCTTCATTGACTCTCAGTTTGCATACGCTCTAGGAGGCGAAGAAGACGGCGGAGCTCAGGTGTTTGGGAGCAAAATGGAGGTTCAAAACATGGAATCTGGCAACGTGGCCACGTTGCAGAGCTTCGCGTTTGGAACCGAAACGCAATTAAACTTGGACAGTACAATTTCATTATCTTCGCCTCAAGAACATTTGGAAAGTCATTCGGTGTGTCCTTACTGTCGACGAAGTTTAGAAACAGAGGATCCTGAGGTCATTTGTGGCGCAGCACGTCCAGTCGGCGATATAAACAAGATCGATGAGGGCGCCAAAGCAGATGAGATGATGAACCGACGTGCGATTCATGATGGGGTTGAAGGAACAGGTAAGCTCCACAGTTATTTGTTTTTGTTTAGTCCTAAATTGCATATCACTCTATTACGGTAGGGGTTTAATCTGTGGGCAAATGCGAGCGATAAGCCTACTAATATATGTGATCAATAGACTCTCTATTTGTTTTGACTTGAACGCCCGATATTTTAGTAACGTCATCCTGTGCTTTTGCCCTGTAGAATAACAATTCCGGAATTTTCATTGAAAAGATGAGGTTCATTTTTAATGTTTTGCACTTTAAGCTGTTTGTGTTTGAGGAATTCTACCATCTTAACATCATTTATCTTTGCTCTTAATTGTTTTGCTTCCAAATGATTTAGCAAGGAAGTGTCAAACAAAGCGTTTTAGATATTTGGTTACCATTTAAATAGGTAATCAGACGGAAGATGCGTGAATTTGTTTATTCTCATTCAAACATTTTTGATGAAACCGGTGTACTGAGATCATACAGCGTTAGACTTCATTCATTTGTTGCTAAGGAAATGAAGAAACAACGTTGTGATTCGAAAGGAAATGCCAAATTTGCTACGGGAATCCACCCGGCTGTTAAAATTAAGTGCTGTCAAACGTCTGTACCTCTGATTGGTGATTTTTGTTCCATCAGACAAATTGGTAACCACAAATCTTACGTGACGTCAATTCATTCAAAGATAGCGGAAATTAGCTTATCATACACGGCATCATCTTTTTTGTTTTTCTGGTTTAAGAACCAGTTTTTTTGGACAGTTGGGAAAGTCAGAGCACCATTGAGAGATCAGTGATTACTTCTAAGTAGCTGCTAAGTGGGAAATGAAAGTAAATGAGTGTATAGTAAGGGTATGAGGGTATCCAGTTCATGCTGTGAATTGAGTCAATTCAAACACAAATAAAAGTTATGTATAAATAGTCTCTGGAACAGAAGTCTGTGATTTATCTGATCTTCAAAGAGAAATTGAAAACAATTTAATGCATAGAGCAACTGACTAGCTTTGTCAATGAACACAAAGTTGCAAAAGAGGAAATTTTTTTTATTTCTTGACCATTTTCACCTCAACATCACCATGCATATTCTCTGCACTGCTCTCTATACATTTCCTAAGGTATTGACAAGGAGAATTTGTTTAACAATCAAGAGCTTCTTTCGTTGGTGATCATCTCCTTTATTCTCATGACCATAATGTTTGATTCAGGGGTGATGTTTTAAGGAGAAATTAGATGTTAGTCATTCTTAGGGGTTAAAAGGTCAAATGAGAATTTACAGTGAGTCTTTCACCTATAAAACCAAGAATTACCTTATTAGTGGAATCAACATGTCCCAGCTAATGCCATGATTTCCCCTTTCTGTGTTCTAATATCACTCTTAATCCAAAAGTGTAATGAATCATTGTTATTTAATTGTTAACAGGAGACCCAATTGACCCAAGGAAATCTGTGGTAACAGAATTAAAGCTGGCAGAAATAAGCGAAGATGTAGGAACTTGTTGGCGTCAGTTAGGACCTAAACTTGATATTGCAGCAGCTAAGATTCAAAATCTGGATGAGGAGTACAAATTTAATCGAGACAAAGCCAATGCCCTTCTTCTTATTTGGGAACAGAAAGAAGGAAAAGGTGCAATGGCTGGAATTCTTGCAGATGCTTTGGAGAGTATTGGAAGAAAAAGCATTGCAGAAAAACTGCTTGGTGAGTGGATATCCTGTGTAAGATTAGTGCGTGTCTTTTGCAAGATAAATGGGTTGTAGATGCATGTATGATAAAGTCTGTTTTTACTTTGTTAATGTTATTATCCTGAGTTATGTAAAGGCTTGAAACATTTTCATTGTTTGTAACTTAAATGGATCATTGTGAGAATAAAAAAACATTGGCAATACACTTAACCCTTTAACCCCCAGATCAAATTTGTCATTCTCCTTACTGTCAACCATACAATTCTTATGATGTTAGTTCTGAGAATTTAACATTGGATCAAGTAATTATCCCCAAATTGACATTTTTCTTTATTCTTGTCACTTAACTGGTTGACATTGTATCGATATTGTAAGGAGAAATTCTTTCCTAGTCACTCATGGGAGTTAAAGGGTTAAATCATGTCATGATGATATCTAAGGGCATAATACATGTACGTGTAGCTACAGTGTAAAGGTTTTGAAATTTTTAAGGTGAATAGTTTCTCACATGCAACTGAGTTTGATGCTGAAGGAACATTTTTCATGAAAATGAAATTGTAAGGTTGTGCTAAACATTTTCCTATTAACCCTTTAAACCCTAAGAGTGACTCATGTCTAATTTCTCCCTACAATAAAATTATCACCCCTGATTCACCCATTAAAGTCATGAGAATGAAGGAAATGATTTCCAACAAAAGAAGCGTTTGATCAGTAAACAAAATCTCCTTTTCAGCATCTTAGGAAATGTATAAAGAATGTGGAGAATATGTATAATGATATAAAGGGTTGATGAGATCCATTGCTCTTTGTTGGACAGTGCAAGGCTTTTGATTTTAAAGGGAGAACTAAACTGAAAATTACTGTGCAAGATCAATAACCTCTTGATCCTCTTTTTTCAAGTTATTTTTTCTGATTAGAATTTTCACCAATTTTTGTTTGAAATTCAAAGCAGCTGTTGATTATTATTGTGATAAATTTTTCTTTACAGGAGGGAGTGAAGTAAACACTTGTGTATCAGTTGTCGAGGGTCATTCCATCAGTTTAACAGTCAGATTTGATTTTGATGCTGAACTGGACAATAAGGTTAGTAGTTGGATTAAGATCACAGGCTGTGTGTGAAAGTAACCCTCCTTTGGAATTTGCACTAGAATAACTAACAATGTATACCCCTGCTGTAACAAATACAGATAGGTTTGTTATAAAGAGATCTGACAACAGGGTTGCCATTAGAAGGTGGTAGGTAACAGAAATGCTGACTGTCAGGATATTTTTATCTGCTACCTTTTTAATTGTGATCAAAAGAAAGAAAATAAGTATTTTTGAACTGATTTTAAAATATTTACCTAAATATGTCCCAGAATGCTGGAAAAGTGTCTGAAAGAGTAATTCAAATTTCAAATTTTTTCCAGGAGAGCATGCCTCTCAATTTCCCTAGATGGGTAGGCAGTTCACCTGCCAGATTTGGAAATGTGTCTGCAAATCTCATGATAGAATACCGTTAAACCTTTTTTGTGGTATTTTTTACAGCTTATGCTGTGTGAAGATGTGCAAGGCAACAAATTCATGCTGAAAGCTCTCACCAGCAGTGACAAATTTTGGGATACAGAAGAGGTAATATCTGTTTTGAGTGGAAAAGTTTACTACAAGTCATGCACTTACCAGAATATCTTTTGACATATGTGTCGTTATCATTTATATTTTTAACATGAAGTCAGTTATTTACTGGTAGCTATGATTTGAGCTCAAATCATGAAGGGAATTATGAAATGTTAAAGTTATTTGAAGTTTAAGTCTTCAGAGGCTGAAAGAAATCCCTTAAAGATTGAAAATTATGGCAGAAATTTATAGTTAATGTTTTTCCTACAAGTTAAGTTATGTTCACCTTGTCATTATGTTCAACTAGATTCAGTGGGATTTTATGTGGAAAAATATTTTATTAGGAAAATGAAACTAGCCAGATAAAGAAAAAATGCCATACTGTGCTTGGACAATAGGTTCTTGTTGGTGAGGGCAAAATGGTATTGAAAATAATTAGAAGGGACAAGGACACTGATTGATTAGTTAGCCAAACTTTGTATATGAAAATTTATCTAGTTTATGCACAAGAGGGCTGAAAGCTTACTGGGGAAGAAGAATTATTTGATTAAATCAGCCCTCTTAGAGAGAGTTGATTGTTCCCTTTGCAGATTCTTAGAAATAAAAGGTTTTTGGAGAATGTTGCTGTAGCTGCACAGGAAATGGCAAAAACAACAGAGCAAAGAAGGCAAGAGAGTTTAAAACGTATTTCGTCAGAAGTTCAAGAACTGAGGCAGAAACTGAAGAAAGTAAAACTTGATTGTGGGGATGGTGATCCAAATGATGGCTGTAATTACTGCTCTGTAGATGTAGCCCAGCCTGTATGTGATTCATTTGAGGATTCAGCTCAGGAGAAGTGTCATTTGCAAGATGAAAGTGTGGAGCAGATGATACAGTCATGTGTAGAGCAGCGCAATCTTTGTCAAGGCATCTTTGATGCTCTGATTAAGTTAGTTAGTGAGGTTGGACAGCCCAGGGAGGACAGTGCTAAGTGTATTGGACAGCTTTGTGATTTTACCAAAGAGCTAAGGGATCAGGAGAAGACACTTTTCTCCAAAATTGAGTTTGTTCATAACCAGCATCTAGATAAAAATCAAGTCATTCGAATAGAACAATTACAAAAATGGAAGAGAGCACAGAAGGAACAAGTGGAAGGAGTTGAAAAGCTGTTGTCAAATGTGCTCCAACAAGGAAGTATGGACAGAAGACAATCCTCTGGGAAAATGGAACGTCAGGTAATTCAAGTCACTCAGTCTCTCATGTAGAAAGATTTTGTCTGGTTTTTGAAGGTTTTTTTCCTTAACTTTAAGGTAGATATTTTGGGGTTTATCTGAGAGCTGTTGGCTGGAATATCTTTAAGGTTGTTGTTTTCTGTCAGTGGAAGAGAACAATTATTGGCTTGGAAAGTGAAGGTTGTGTTCCAGAGACATCTAGCCACTCTGCCAGCATATTCTCATGACTGAGGGCAGTTGACTGCAGAGGAAAGTTTATGTCAAAACAAAGTCCATTATCTTCTGGGTAACTGGGTTGAACTTAAAACCACTAGTAAAATGATTTCATAAACTTTCCTTTGCAGTCAACTTAACAACTTGTTCTACTACCACAGGGCTTCACTGTTATTATGTGTGTTGACAATGCTCTTCTGCAAAAGGGGTAACTAGAATGATTTTGAAAAGGAAATGGAAATTAACAGTGTCCAAAAGGCTCAGAGGAATACTTTTCTAAAATTTATTATTTACATTTCTTACATGTAAACACTTACACTACATTACTTACTGGAGACTACTGGCTATGTGTTGTTTGAGAAACCCTAACTACATAAAGTAGTATGTGTTTGATCTTGGAGAGGAATGTGCTGATCAATTCAAGGCTTTAACATCCCTCCCTTTCCCCCAGCAACCCACAGGCATTTGACTGTCATCTGCGCTGGGGGTGGGGAATTTGAACCCTGCCTGGGTGGGGTGGGGGAAATTTGAACCAGAACTGTTAAGTCTTTTAAGTAGAACACATGTTTTATCTTTTAATATGAACAAGGTGTTTTAAGGTAAAGAGTTCATAATTAAAAAAAAAAAAGGGGAATGATCGATTCACTTTCACCTTCATAAACAGATGGAGAAAGAGAGAGAGAAAATGAGCTCTAAAAAAAATTACAGTTGCTAATCTTGCCTTTAAAAACAATTGATTGTTAAGTCCAGCACTTGGGTGGAGCATTTAACACTATTGTGGCTGTGGAGGTCCTGACTGCTCCCTTGTTATTCATTAGTTACGGAAACTTCTTCTGCTTCTCTTTGCATAGTCAAAGTTTGAATTGAAAACTGAGGGGTTTTTTTTGGCTGATTTCTCACCATAGAAGCTTCTGAACCGCAGATCAGAACCAATTATGTCCACCAAAACACCTCCTGGATATGGAAGAAGGGTAAGAAATGATTCATAAGTGATAGCTCTGGGGCTACGTGTGCATTTGTTGTTCACAGCTGAGAAAAACTTATAGATAGCATATTGCTGTGCCTATGTTAATATAAAGAGAACAGATAACCTCAAAAAATTGATAGAACAAAACTTACTGACCACGTATGGTAATGAGATTTGACAGAATTGTCTGTGTTATTTACTTGTACAACTGAAAAGACAGCAAGCATAATGGAATTGATTTGTTATGCGCTCAACAGAGAAATTAATTTAAAAATATGAAAAAAAACTACTCTTCAGTATGTGACTGCTTAAAGACAGATGTATTTCCCTGCAGACATCACTTTATTGCTTTTTTTTTCTTCATTATCTGTCTCAGCATAGTTATATCAGATATGTTCATATTATATTAAGCCTCAAGATGTTGCACAAACCTCTTAAAACAAATAGGATTTATTTATTGGCAGTTACCATTTTGTAATTATTGTTAATGGCAATCACTCCATAAGTTTTTGCGGGGGACTATTTTGTAATTCTTTCGTTAATTGGTAAAAAGAGGTGAGCACACGGTGCTGGACAGGAGTTAAATTAGCTAGTGTAACTCATGATTTTATTCATTGTTGCAGAGAGCAAAAACTGACTCATCAAAGCATTCAGGCAAATCACAAAGTACAAATGAACTCACAGAGGTTACCAAGAAAAGTAACATCTCTTCCCCTCGGTGTGTAAGGCGCATGTGTCTCATGGACACAGACAAGAAATCCAAGAAGGAAAAGGTACCAATAATTTGTCGATAGATATTCAGTTTTTTCTCTCAATCTGAAGTATTCATGGTTATCAGGGGTTTCCTTTTCTATAAGCAGCTGCCATGCAATAGTGGTAATACTTGAACAAGAGCCTGCTTGCAGGTTTCAACAGATATCACAGCTACTGTTAAATCTACATTGATGCTCTTTTGTGCCAGCATCATCAGACACCAGCAGATTAGTTTGCATTCTTCACTTACTCACATTCTTCAAAATTCATTTCTTACAGAAAGAAAATTCTCGAGTGATTATCTAAGGGAACTGAAAACTTTGGAGTTTGAGCTCAGAGGTTTCACCTAAAGACAATCACTGAACCTAGAGGAATGTAAGATTTGCTTATAAAAGCTACTTGATACATAAAAGTTGTGGTCTTTTTGTCACCACATACAGTCTTAATAATTTTACAGTTAAGTCTTTCAGCTGTGAAATACTTAGTTTGCATGGAAGAAAGCTAGAATATTTTCATTGATAAATACTTTTATTTCTGCTGATGTTTATAATGATACATGAGAAGATGTTCATGTATATTAACAATATTTTTGTTGCTCAGTTTATTTTCAAAAAGATGCTTTTTGCATGTAAAATTAAGAGATTTCAGCTCAGTTGTAAGTTATACATATACATTAAAGGGAAATGCATGTGCAAACTTTTGTATTGCATTATATTCGTAGCCTTTTTGAAATATCGTTCAGTTATGGTGTGTCTTGTATTGGTTATATGTATGTCAATTCATTTATACGCTTGCAATGAAATAACTGTTGATAGCTTTAAACATTGTTGTAGATAAAGGACAACATGGAATGATTATTTTTATAGTTGTACACTGTATGTAGCTGTAGATAGCTCAGAGTGATGATTTTTGTAGGATATTGGAATTCTTAGTTTGAAGAATTGGCGCTGGATCCACTATATACAGGAATCCTGTTTGTTCATTTCCTTTTTGCTCCTTTTTAATGACTTGTGATTTTCACATGTTTGTTAGTCAAAAGTGTTGCTTTTATAGGTCAATCCTTTTGTCAGCTCCAAAAAATGGACAACATTGTTGCTGGATTGGCTATGGAGCTGTCAAATGTTTCATAAGATTAAGAATGGACAATTATTTCATGATTATAAGCTGTTCATCCTAAGATCCTGTATATAATTTTTGGAGTGTAATATTTTAGTCAGGATCCAAAGGTTTTTTTTATAAGTATTGTTGATTAGGTTGTATAGAATGATTTTTTTTCTTACTTGTAAAATAGTTGTTAGAGTGTGAAAATGCATTGTTTTTTTCCCAAATGTGTATGGCTTTTGGGACATACCAGTATGTGTATTTTGTTTAAATTAGTTATTAGGACATGGAAACATTTTGTTCCATAGATGTTGAGTATTTTAAGTTTAAGCAGCAGTTTGTCTTGGATTGTAGTTACTAAATATATGAAAAAGGTTTGTTTCCAAAACTAGTTGGAAAAAAGATTTCCATATGAGTTTTCATTGCAGACATAAAATGTAAAACAAAATATTTGGTTAAAACAATTTGAGACATACTGCTGTGATTAATGTTTTGACAAGGGTATACAATTATATGTAATTTGAAAGATGAACTGGACAAAATGTTTCCAAACTCAAAACTGTGCTGTCATTCACAAAGTTTTGCATAAGGGGGTATCTGGTTATACCTATATGCACCTTAGAACTGCAGGCCAGTGAGGATGACATTCTTATGAAGTAGAACACCCAGCTGGCTAGGTGTTACTGCAAGACTGTATCATCAACATGTACAGTTCCATTTGGTAACATAAGATTTACAGCTTCTATCTTTATTCCCTCTCCTAGCATTCATACATTTTGAAAGCCAGAATTTCATCATTCTCCTACTCTGCCAAAGGAAACCCTGAAATTGGGTCAGACATCTTATTTATTTAGAGTGGCAAATAACAGTATGGGCAATTTTTTTGTCCCTGGTTAAGACAAAATGGTACGTAATATAAAAGTTCAAATGTACTATAGGTAGATATGGAGCTATCCACTTTAGTTTTGGGGAGGAAATGTAGACAAGAAACGTGTCTAATTTTATCTATAACTAATACTCTTGCATGTTAAAGGGGAGATTTTTTACTTTAGATACCAATGCAATTTTGGTGTGGTTTTGTCTGCATAGGCTGGTCTATCATAATTGTTTTAAGCCTCTGAGGCTGACTGTTTCATGCAAGTTTTGAGCAGCTGAGCCGTTGAATGAATATTATTTTCACTGGGCTCCTGAAACCTGTCAGTAATACATACTAAACACTTCTGTGACTCGTTCTAACGCACGTTAATTTTCTTTTTAAACTTAGAGGGGTAGTTTGAACTGTAGTGTGGGTCTTTTTCCGGTATGTCAATCAAGATTTCAATTAATTTCTATGATGTACTATCTAATCAATTGAAATAAAGAAGAATTTTACATAACATACTCCTCTTCTGTTTCAGCGAGGAAGAGCGGGCTATGTCTTGGAGGGTACTTCCCAATATCAGCACTATAGATATTTACCTCCCCCTCCCCCCCCCCCCCCAAAAAAAAAAAAAAAAAAAAAAAAAAAAAGTGTGATTTTCAGCTGAATTTGTCAAGTAACTGCACCTGCAATAGATGGGAGGTCCAAAAATGGTGTAGTTTAGAAATGCGTCAAACAGTCAGAAATTAAAAAACATCGTTTAGAAGATAATTATTTTTAAAAAAATGCGTGAAGTTCATTCAGTACTATAGTTTGTACAAATCAACTCAGACTATCTTGTAGCATAGAAATATATTCATGTTTTATTTTGGATCGTTCTTTATCCGTGAAAAACAAAAATAACGAAAATTTTTCTCTTTTCAAGTCTTTACACTTTAATTTTCTTTGCCTGTAACAAAAATACATCATCAAAGAAGAGAGATATATTTTTTATTGATAAAAATCCATATTTTGCTAACAACTTGTCGCAAAGTGATCGAAAAGGTCAGGCACACCAGGTGTTCTATAATGAAGAAATGTAAAATGGTTTCCGTGTTTACATCAGGCTATGTAAACACGGAAACCATTTTACATTTCTTTTATAAAATAACTAATGAAAGAGGAACGAAAACCGTGTTTACATACGCTCATGTAAAATGGTTTTATGGCCAATCAGAGCGCCTAAGTTTAGGAAATGGACTTATACAAAATTGTATGATCGGGATCGGGATTGGCCAGTGTAAACTGACGGGATTACGGGATTGAGAAAAAATTTTTTGGCCGGGATTGCGGGATTGAAGATTGCTATTGGAGACTCTCTGGATATGCCAGGTAAAATAACTCCTGGTATTCTTCCTTAGTAAAAAAAGTAATAAAAAATGAATAAATAAATAAATATAGTAAAAGAATTAAAAAAAAAACAATGAATAAATAACTAAATGGGGGCCGGTCATTATTCATCACCTGGGGGAGGGGGTGGGGATAGGAGGATTTTGGTTCTTTCATGATAAACTGGACCTGATCATCCCTATAAGACTCTGTAATATCCATACGACTCCCCCCCCCTCCACTGCACCGCATGCCGCACCCCACACACACCCATTGGCTCTTGACTTCTCGTATGGCAGTTCAGCGCCCTTCGATCAACCTAAGCGGGCGATGGTTTAACGACCATCAAGTCAGCAAAAAAAAAAAAAATAAATAAATAAATAGCATGTTTATGTCATTCTGCTATACTCCGGATTAATGAAAATAAAAAGTTAAAAAATGCAATATGTGGCCCTGTCCAAACTTGGCGTATAAATAGTGAAACAGCATAGCTACAAAATAGAATCATGGATCACGAAATAAACAATGACACACGATTTTCTGTTTCGAGTTCGATGAGCTCATATTCAGCTTCTTCAATACTGCTCGTGTTACCAAGTGCACAGTTTTGTTACACACTTGTGGGGCAAATCACATTTTCACAGGAGTTAAGGTGAGGACAGAATAAGTTAATAGCGACCTAATGCAGTGTATGAGATAAACGGGTATTGACTATAGATACAGATAGAAATAATTTGAGACACGAGACAAAAGAATGAAAGAAATATCGATCTTATTTACTCGTCACGAACGCAGAATCGAATCTTAGACCTTCGGATTTTACGATCTGAAGTTCTCACATATAGCTATAGATTTCTCGTTAATGAGCCATGACATACAGTGGATCATCCTGTATACTTCTAAGATCATTAATGTCGAAATTTTCATGTCTTAAATACATAATAAAAGAAAGGAAATTTCAAGCTCTTTCGTGACAAAGGAAAAAATCATTTTTAACCGACCACCGAAAAAAAACCTATTCGTCAGATCAGGTTAAACGACAGATAAAATATCAATGCTGACATGTATATAAACATACCAGACCTTGAGGTAGCTCATTTATCTTCCCATGAGGGATCTACGAAGCTGCGGCATTTCTGATTCCAGTATGAAGTGCGTCACTTGTCTGTATGAACTATTATACAATTATTTATGGCCTCGCTTATTGCATCCAAACTTAGCAGACAATTCTGGAGCTCAGAGAGACAGAGAGCTAGGGCCTCAGATTTCTCTTCCAACTCAAAGACAACTGGTTCAGTAACAATTTATTCATAAAATTCCTGTAAGATACACAGAGGGTTTCTGTACACAAAGATGCATGGAGTACATAGATTTGAAAGAATTTGAATATTTAAAATCATATCATATTTATCATATTTCTTTAAGAAGAGTACTCATGGTATTCGCTTTAATTCTTTCCAATACGTGAAACAATTTACATTTGCTTTTCTCTAGATACAACGAGAAGTCAAGTATTTTTCTTGGAAAAGAACTTTATTGGAGTTAAATTTATCGCAAGTACTCTTCAGGTGAGGAAAGATAATGAAGAAATGTGTAGCATATTATCATCGAAAGACATGAAAATTGGATAAAAAATATACATAAACAATTCATATTATTGGTGTGATTTCTTTAGCTTTGTATCCCCCTCCGGTGATGAATATGAACAACTTGTTATTACAAAGTGTACGTAGATATAAACGCAACAACCAGCAAAGAAATTAAAGATCGTTGAGAACAGAGAAAGTTATCACTTATAGCGAAGTATCTTGATGTAACACTAAATTCCTTTACATGTGAGAGAAAGTCAGTGAACGAAAACAGTTGAGGTATGGACTACATACGAACAAAACCATCTTGATTTTGTGAATCAGCATCGTTGTCATATTAGGAAGGAACATATTTTATTATTCCAAAACTGATTGTATCGGAATGAGCCTAGAGCGCCACTGAATTTCACCGGACACTTACACTTTTGACTGCAAAAATATTAAGTGCAGAATTGGCGGGAGTTATTTACAAGAAATAAGCTTACCGTTTTTATTTTTAGAATCTTTATGAAGTCGTAATCATGGAAATATGACTAAAAAAAATGTTTATTGTATAAAATACGCTGATTGATGACGCCAATCAGTTACTGCGCGTCACTCGCCTTTCGCGACACTTTATTAGGTTAGTGAATAAATGGCAAATTCTCATTCCTTAGTAAAGTCGTCTTTCAAGTTGTCTGCAAAATAAACAAAATAATACATGGTTCCTTGTAGATATAGGATTACTATTCTCGATATCTCACGAGAGAGCGCATTGAACGAGGGATTTATCGAGTTGATCACTTGAAGAGAAATTACACTGGCACAATATAACTCATCCTTATTGATTCAGCTATGGCAGAGTGTAATATGTCCTGCCCTGAGGAGAAAAGGGATTTTGCGGATTGCGAGTGTTTCGCACTAAAAGAGAAAGAGCCAAATTTAAATTACAAAATGAATTAATCGCCATAGAGAAACATGTAAACAAGTAATAATCATAAAAGGAATATAAAACACCAAAAAAAACCATCACAACATTTTTTTTGAAGTAGAAGAGCAGTTTTGATCACGAAACTGGGCATTACACGACTTAAGATCTTTTAAACTCGTGGATATGTAATCCTTTATGTTTTCATCGAAATTTTCATAAAGCAAAATATTATTCTTCATATTTTCAGGCATGTAGAATTAACAAATGACATCGTTTGGAGAATAGAAGGATTCAGAGGATGACAGTTTAACAGGTACAAACCAATTTTCATTCTGCAACTGATTATAGCTGTTTAAGGTTAAGTTATTTAAAATGAACCATCGTAATTTTCTTGCGGCTTTTAATTTCAGTCGAATTTTCTCGGGTTATTGTTGTCAGACGTAAAATATTTCACCTACATACACTTATAAATTTCATTGGTTTCCCTCATTTGACTCGAGGTTAAATAGTATGCACGCGATGCAATTTCCTAAAGCCTTAAACTCTTAGAAGTGATGTAACTTGTAACTTATCCCTGTAATATCAATACATTATCCAGCAAACAGGTAATGAGAACACTCAAAGTTTTATCAAGGTAGAATTCGTTGTCTTTGAACTAACACTAAATTCCTGTATCTACTTTGAAATGAAACATGTAGCAGCTAGAGGGGAGAATTAACAATTAGATCACGGGAGTTAGAGGTTTAACTGTACGTGATGATTATGCGGCAGAAGCGCGTGATGAGCATGTGACAGAGCTAGATAACGTGCTGTATATAATTATAGCTCTCGTCAATATCAAAACCAGCTATTATATCTCGAAAACAAACGAAGTTTAAAACAAAGCCCGATGTTAAAAAAAGTAAAAATAAAAAAATATATACAAAATGCCTAAGTTTCTTTTGATATCGTAACATTCACGATATCTTATAATAATAACAGTAATATTAGTTGTCGCCGCAATACCAGAATTTTTTCAGTTTCCATAACGTGACATCTTTACCGCACGTTGTAAATGTACCTTTTATATCTTCACATTTAAGAGTATCAACGTCGTCATGATAACCGGATTTATCAACGTGACAATTTACTTTCCATGTTGGTTTTTTTAAAATTGTTTTTTACCTGAATTTCGTAAAAACCTTTAACTCCAAGAAGTGATATAAGTTGTATCTTACTCCCGTAATATCAATACATTACCCAGGAAACAGGTAATGAGAACACTCAAAGTTTTATCTGGTAGAATTCGTTATCTTTGAACTAACACTAAATTTCCGTATCTACTGTGAAAGGAAACATGTAGCAGCTAGAGGGGAGAATTAACAATTAGATCACGGGAGTTAAAGGTTTAACTGTACGTGATGATTATGCGGCAGAAGCGCGTGATGAGCATGTGACAGAGCTAGATAACGTGCTGTATATAATTATAGCTCTCGTCAATATCAAAATCAGCTATTATCTTTCGAAAACAAACGAAGTTTGAAACAAAGCTCGAGGTTGAAAAAAAAAAGATACACAATCCCTATGTTTTTCGTGATATCGTAACATTCGCGATGTATAGTAATAATGACGGTAATATGGTTGTCGGTGAAATACCAGAATTTTTTCAGTTTCTAAAATGTGACATCTCCACCGCACGCTGTAAATGTACCATTAATATCTTCACATATAAAGGTATCAAGGTCGTCATTATATCCGAATTTATCAACATGACAGTTTTACTTTCCATGTAGGCCGTTTTTATTCCAATTGTTTTTTTCACCTGAAGCTGAATTCAATTTTTAAAGGATATAGTTATTGTAATGAGAAATTGTTACATTACAATGTCCGAAATTGAATTGGTTTTCCGGCGAGCTGAGTTACGGTGCAGCGGATCTCTGTATTCGATGCTCTTATTTAAAAATTGTATTTGATTCAAATTTTCAATCAATATCTTTTGAATAAAAAGGATGATACATGTCAGCCTATGGATACGAATTTATCTGCTTGAATTGAATTATCTCTTTAAAGGTGTAAAGGATGTTATGAACACTCAATGGTATAATTCGTATCGACGCGCAGTTATCTGATACCTCATATACGCGTGTGCATTACTGAACAAGTGTGAGCTTAAGAAGGCTGTACATCGGCCAATTTCCCTCTCTGCATTTTGAGCCGGGACCGTGACGAAGGCTTCGTCAGCAACAGATCAAAGGATGTATCACACGATAACAAAATATATTCATGCACCATGGAATTACGAAATGAATCTGCGAGTTTCGTTGGGATTTTTGTTTTGTTTTGTTTTCATTTAGGACGAATCTGTGACCTCTGTTTTAGCCAGAAATACTAGAAAAGCTTTTATTCATAGGACAAAAATATGCTGTTTGGTTACGACGTTATACGAGGTATTCAACAGGCTACAAGCATTTCTTTTTTTCCTTCTGTGGGGAATCAAAGTGGAAATTGAAAGAAAACACATTTTGCACTCTTGGGTAGGCGATCAGAGCACCGATCAGAGCTTTCCTGCTCGCTCACCGGTCCCACCTTAACGTATAAATAGCAGAGGAATTGGGAAAATGTGTCTAGAAAAATGAAAATTTTAACCCCAGAACCATGATGACTACGATTTCTTGATCATGTATGAAAACGAAACCTCGTCAACGACACGATTAATTATTCTGGTTTTTTAAACGCTTTGGAACATCAATCCACCTCCTCGCAAAACTTGACACGGTAATCGTCGACGGTGAATAAATTTTTGTCTTCAAATGTTCGAACTACGTATCTACAAGGTGGTTAATAGTATCATTTCTGATTGGTTATCTGTCAGAGTTCGGTTTTAGTAGATATACCTTCACGCGCGATTACAGACTAAATGGGCACATTGTTTGCGTGTTTACATCATACGCTGAAAGATAAAACTGTTGGCTCAGTAAATGCTGTTATTGGAGCAGAAAGTTGTTCTGTAGGGCTAGACCAAGTCAGCAGCTTCAGGGAAATGTCCGAAATTTCCCATTCACTATAATATTGCAAAAGATTCTTTTTTGATCAGCAATTCGTTCACAAATAATTTTTAAGTTTCATTTCGCTTTCAGTCTACTTCCTCCGCCAAATGCTCATATGGCCTGGCAGTGAATTCATTCGATGGCCTACAAGATTAAGCTATGCTGGAGTCTGTGTGTTGCGCTTGGCTTTCAATTTGTTGTAGATGAAGTTTCTTGAGTTTTGATGAATAGGACACTTTCCAGTGCCATCTTCTCAATAATCTTGTATTCAGTACCTTTTTTGAATTCGAAATGGAAAAATCGGATCCTTCCCCAACATAATTTGGAGAGGGACCAGCTCTTCCAGTTATTCTAAATTTCCTGGTTCCTTAAAAAAAAATTAATGAAGGAGTTTATTGACTGGAACTTATAATTCTGTTAATAAAAAAAAGACTTTGTTCAGCAATTTTTCGATAGCTTTGAGGGACATTTTACACATGCACTTTGTAAAAGAACAGGGTCGATAAACGTGTTTCTTAACGCAATAGGCTCGCGGGGTGTTGGTAGAATTCGTGACGGTAACGCAAACCCTCAAAGGTGTTTCGGTTTCGGATAAGTTTCGCGAATTCTCCCAGCCATACACGCGATAAAATGAAGGAATGAGAGAAAGAGTCTTTTATTGCATTATTTTTTATCCCTGCTTATCCATGCTTACTGGGTACAACTAGTTTGTTTATTGCAACTCACGCATTTTGATAAGGAACAGCCTGGAACGAAGTTTAAACAGATGAGACTACGAAAACAAACAAACAAACAAACAATTGAAAAAATAGACATGACACAACCTGCAGAACTTGACTGGAGCTGTCACGCAATCACAATAGCAGAGGAGGAAACTTTGAGATTTTCATTCTTTCTCTATGATTAAATATAAAATGTTTTCTTTAGGTTACTTTCATCTGAGTCTCCTCTTTTGATTTTAAACAATGTAACGCATTACAATCGATTCAATTTTGTTTCTAGCTATGGCAGAGAGCAACCTCCCAAAAACGGGAGAAGAACTGGAGTTGAAAAATGAGTTTCCAGCCACAGGTGAGAAAAAGCAACAGGGAGAGACTTCCTTGTGGTGATTTTGAACCGTTTGTGAATTAATTATATCTTAATTCTGATACACAATTTTTCAATTTTTTGGATCCCTTCGACTTGAAGGTTTTAAGGAATCCACTAAATACGCCAGTATTAGAACGCTAGTTGTAACTGCACATAGTTGTGATCACTAACAAAGTTGAAATATCTTCTCGGTAATTTCAGCGACAGAGGAAAGTCAAGTTACGTCAAGTGACGCTGAACTGGATGTATACAATGACCCTTTAAGAGGTAAGAAAACCAGGTGAAGTAAAATTGTTTGAAAGACTTCCCAGTGAAGTCTTTTTGTCATATTTACATAAAAAATTGCGTATGTTTTGTGAATGAGTTTTTGAAGCAGCAAAAGATCTTCAAATTTCAAACTTTGTTACCAGTAAAATAAAAACAAAGAAAAAATAATTTATTGCTCGATTCGATGGAGCAGAATGCGTAGAGTAGACATCATTAATTATTTATAGGCCACAAAGCGGCAAATTTGAACGCGACTTTGCTTTGAAGAGCCCATAATTAGAGAAGAATGGGTCAAACTTGGCCCACTAGGCTTTGTAACACTCAGTTTTCTGAGTTTTAGAAGTGCTTCCTTCTAAATCAACGCACGGCGTTTTAAAGATTAAAAATTTAGCTATAATTTGCACCTAAAATGAATGATATTTGCGAAGTAGAAGTATTTTCCTTTTGAATTTGAAGATACTCAAAATTTGGTCATTTTTAATGAGAAAGTTATTTTCGGCGAGGGAGAGCTTTTGGCACCAGTAGACCTATCAAAGTCGAGTATTGAAAAATTTGCCAACGGATAACTTTTTGAGGCTGCCACGAGGAAAGTATTTGACTAAAAGTTACGCTAACACCTGTTTGTCCCTTATTATTCAATACAAGTTTGGCAGAAATTTTACGCAATTTGAGAATTTTACAGAGAAGAGGAGGCATTTTGCCTCAGCCGTATCGCCTGTTTTGGTCTTCTAAATATTTTACGCCTCTTTACACAGTTATATCAACACCAGGCCCACGTTGTAAACCTCCAACCAACAAAATGTAGAACCGCTGACTTTCAAAACAGGCGAAATGGCACTTCGCGGGGAAATGTTACTTTCTCAAACCAACTTCTCCAGTTAGCCTCTACGAGTATGTTCTCAATAGACACGGGCCCTCAGCACGATGTTTTTTTGTTATCAGAACGTTCACAAGTTTTAACCTTTTTCGATCCTGGCTTTGCTTTGCTTTATTCAATAACTTATGGGGTTTTACATTCTAACTTGATATTTTGGAAAAAATAACCCAGGTGTAAAAGGGTTTTTGGAAAGTCTCACGACCTAAATGTAAACAAAACAGACTTGATTTACTTATAGCCAAGCTACCGCTAAAACCCCTGATAGTCTGTATATTTTTAAACAAACACTAAAACGTTATGCTTTTAGGAATAGCGAAAGTATGTCTCGAGGAAGGTAACAAAGAATACAGAAAAGGAGAAGCTAATAACGCGATAAACTCCTACACGGAAGGACTTCAAGTCAACTGCAACGATACACGGCTGAACGCCAAGCTTTACAGCAACAGGGCAGCAGCTCATTTCCATTTAGGTAACAATTTCATATTTAAACATATAAATCTCTCCTGCAGCGTTACAAGATAGCGGAATACACAATCTGCATCAAGAAAAGGAAAAAATTGAGCAACTGCAGAAAAGAGCATAGAAAGAGATATCACCCTTTAGCAGATCAAAATTAAGCAAAGAAATGATCCTCGTAAATGGAGTGCAATTTATGCAATTGTAATTTTTTCAGGCGTCTTTGCTGCAATTGCATGTGATGACCATTTTTTTAAACCTTATTGAATTTCACAGCAAACTACGTGGAATGTCTGGATGATGCAACAGTTGCTGTTCAATTGGAACCCGTTTTGATCAAAGCTATTAAGAAAGGTGGGTTTTTCAATCATAAGCCATCAACATTCTCTTCTCTGATTTCGTCGAAAGAAAATTTTGTTTATTTGTGGCAGGTGACTGTACCCCAAGTGTCAATTGTCTCTGATTTGTCAATGTCTGTTATGTGAAAAACATAAGAAGATGTCAATAAGCCCTTAAATACCTCCGCCTGGTTAGTTTGACGTTGTAGAGCGCTGGAGGTCGAGGGTTGAAGCCCTAGACCGGACCAACACTCAGAGTCTTAGGATATCTGAGGATAATGTGCTGCCGCCTTAACTACAACAGCTGCAAATGGTTTAATATTCTTGTCCCGGATAAGGATGGAAAACCGTAAGCCCCGTTTCCTGTATCCTCTCTGTAACTCTTAGCCAGGTACAGTAAAAAACCAGGCAGGGAGGCACCTGAAAAATTCCCTTTCAAATGTTGTAAACTGCTCAATGCAGTCTGCCCGAAAAATTCCCCGAAAAGTGCTGGAAAGCACATTAGAGCAAATTAAAATGACAAATGCACGAGATAAATTCATCGTTATCATCATCAAGTGATCCTTAATTGGTAGCCGCTTTGCATTAGCTCCTTATTGTTAATTTCCATTTCTTCCACAAGTTCAAATTTCCTTCATTATCAGAATTTTTCCTGAGAAAAATGACAGATTAAGTCGATTTTACCAATACGTTTAGACCTCAACAGTGATAAATTACGTCGCACCACCAATTATTCTCTCCTTTTCAGGAGCCAGAGCTTGTGTCGAACTTTGTTGGTATAAAGAAGCAAGGAGCTGGTTGCTTATGGGATTGGCCGTATCCTTTAACGAATGTTATAAACGTGATACGAGATGCAATGCGAAAATCAACACGTTCCAGACAGATTCTTCTACACATAATGCAATCGATGTTCTCTTATACTGCACTGAGCAGTTTAAAGAAGCTAAAATATTATTAAGGAGTTCTTTCGATTATTCAACGAAACTTTACTTAAAGGAAGAGGCCATATTAACTAATTCCCAGAATTTCTGCTGAATGCCCCTCATTTTTGTCCTCAGACGAGCATCACCATGACGACCGAACCTAAACTACTAAATGCGCTTCAAAGCTAGTTAACACTCTTGAATAACTTGAAATCAAACCTCTTTAAGAAACCCACGTTCGAATTATCACTCCAATTTTAAAGTTTTATACAATACTCTAGTTATTTTTAAAACACACATTTCATGATTTAGCTACCCTTGACACGTTTTAAGATTGACAACAATAACAAAAGTCTGCTTCAATTAATAAGGAAATCAAATGCTGAACTAAAAGTCAAAGCATACACTTACGCCAGTCTGGGATGTGCTTACTTTAAAGTTGGACAGTTCCACACAGCAATCGAGTACCATCAAAAATGTCTAGAAATTGCTAAAGAAGTGGGAGACAAGGCCGGAGAGGGAAGAAGTTATGGCAATCTCGGCAACGCTTATGATCATCTAGGAGAGTTCAAAACAGCCATCAAGTACCATCAACGTCATCTAGAAATTGCTAAAGAAGTGGGAGACAAGGCCGGAGAGGGAAGAAGTTATGGCAATCTCGGCAACGCTTATCAAGGTCTAGGAGAGTTCAAAACAGCCATCAAGTACCATCAACGTCATCTAGAAATTGCTAAAGAAGTGGGAGACAAGGCCGGAGAGGGAATAAGTTATGGCAATCTCGGCAACGCTTATCGCGGTCTAGGAGAGTTCAAAACAGCCATCAAGTACCATCAACGTCATCTAGAAATTGCTAAAGAAGTGGGAGACAAGGCCGGAGAGGGAAAAAGTTATGGCAATCTCGGCAACGCTTATGATCATCTAGGAGAGTTCAAAACAGCCATCAAGTACCATCAACGTCATCTAGAAATTGCTAAAGAAGTGGGAGACAAGGCCGGAGAGGGAAAAAGTTATGGCAATCTCGGCAACGCTTATCGCGGTCTAGGAGAGTTCAAAACAGCCATCAAGTACCATCAACGTCATCTAGAAATTGCTAAAGAAGTGGGAGACAAGGCCGGAGAGGGAATAAGTTATGGCAATCTCGGCAACGCTTATAACAGTTTAGGAGAATTCAAAACAGCCATCAAGTACCATCAACGTCATCTAGAAATTGCTAAAGAAGTGGGAGACAAGGCCGGAGAGGGAATAAGTTATGGCAATCTCGGCAATGCTTATCAAGGTCTAGGAGAGTTCAAAACAGCCATCAAGTACCATCAACGTGATCTAGAAATTGCTAAAGAAGTGGGAGACAAGGCCGGAGAGGGAATAAGTTATGGCAATCTCGGCAACGCTTATCGCGGTCTAGGAGAGTTCAAAACAGCCATCAAGTACCATCAACGTCATCTAGAAATTGCTAAAGAAGTGGGAGACAAGGCCGGAGAGGGAATAAGTTATGGCAATCTCGGCAACTAAAGAAGTGGGAGACAAGGCTGGAGAGGAAAGAAGTAATGGCAGACTCGGCAACGCTCATCGATGTCTAGGAGAGTTCACAACAGCCATCAAGTACCATCAACGTCATCTAGAAATTGCTAAAGAAGTGGGAGACAAGGCCGGAGAGGGAATAAGTTATGGCAATCTCGGCAACGCTTATCGCGGTCTAAGAGAGTTCAAAACAGAGAGTTCAAAACAGCCATCAAGTACCATCAACGTCATCTAGAAATTGCTAAAGAAGTGGGAGACAAGGCCGGAGAGGGAAAAAGTTATTGCAATCTCGGCAACGCTTATGAAAGAAGTCTAGGAGTTCAAAACAGTTCCATCAACGTCATCTAGAAATTGCTAAAGAAGTGGGAGACAAGGCCGGAGAGGGAAAAGTTATGGCAATCTCGGCAACGTACCATTCAAAACAGCCATCAAGTACCATCAACGTCATCTAGAAATTGCTAAAGAAGTGGGAGACAAGGCCGGAGAGGGAAAAAGTTATGGCAATCTCGGCAACGCTTATAAAGGTCTACGACAGTTAAAAACAGCAATCGAGTACTATCAACGTGATCTAGAAATTGCTAAACAAGTGGGAGACAAGGCTGGAGAGGGCAAAAGTTATGGCTGTCTCGGCAGCGCTTATAAAAGTCTGAGACAGTTCAAAGTAGCAATCGAGTACCATCAACGTGATCTAGAAATTGCTAAAGAAGTGGGGGACAAGGCTGGAGAGGGAAGAAGTTATTGCCTTCTCGGCAGTATTCATCTTCATAAAGGAGAGTTGAAAACGGCAATCGAGTCTTATCAACGTCACTTAGAAATATCCATAGAAGTGAGAGACAAGACTGGTGAGGCGTGCTCACTCTGTTCCCTTGGAAGGAGTTTTGAGTGCCAAGGAAATCTTATGATGGCCATCCACTATTATCACTCGAGCGTAGAGTTATATGATGATATCAGGGCCAGTCTTCGACCCAACGATCAGTGGACGATTTCCTATCGTAATCAGCACCAAAGTGCATACAGAGGTTTGTGGCGTATTCATCTCAATCAAGGTAAAGTTGTAGAGGCTCTTCTTGCCGCAGAGAAAGGACGTGCTCAAGCTCTGAGAGATCTCATGGCCACAAAATATCAGCCTGGAGATTCTTCAACGCAAAGCGCATCGTGCGTTTCTTTGAGTTGGGTTCCATTGAGCACAGTTTTTATAGCTATTAATGGACCATGCGTTTACTTCTGGGTTTGCCTCAGTGAAGATAATATCCAGATGAGAGAGGTACACGTCAACAATTATAAGTATGAGGATGAATTGGAAGTTTTTATAAAGCAACTGAACAAAACTGCTCTGAAGGAGATCGGTGCAAGAGATACTGTTACAATCGAAACTCCTCCGTTTGATTCGTCGACAGAAGAGGAGGTGGCCAATGATGTGATCCGAGTTGATGTGAGGCACTCCCAATCAAGTGCTTTAAAGAAGCTGCATGACATCATCGTTACTCCTATTGCTGATCTGATCGAAGGCAACGAGCTGACATTCGTTCCTGAGGGGCCATTTTGTCTTGTACCTTATGCAGCATTGGAGAACTCGAACTCATCATATCTGAGTGATTCTTTCAGAATTCGTGTGCTTCCCTCTCTGACGACGTTGCAACTAATTCATGATTGTCCAGCTGACTTTCACATGAAGACTGGTGCATTGCTTGTCGGCGACCCATGTTTCAAACATATCATATATCAGGGAAATCTTTTGGTGCAACTTCCAGGAGCAAGGAAAGAGGTGGAGATGATCGGACGTATCCTCAATGCTTCCCCCCTCACTGGAGAAATGGCAACAAAACATGAAGTGTTAAAACGAATATCATCAGTGGCGTTAGTTCATATTGCAGCGCATGGTAAAATGGAAACTGGAGAAGTTATCTTGGCACCAAACCCCACAAGAGAAAACCCTCAGCCACAAGAGGAAGACTATCTTCTGACGATGAAAGATGTGATGGAAGCTGGGTTGCGAGCACGTCTGGTTGTACTTAGCTGCTGTCACACTGCTTGTGGGGAGGTCATGGCCGAGGGTGTGGTCGGCATGGCGCGTGCCCTTTTGGCTGCCGGTGCCAGATCTGCTGTGGTAACCTTGTGGGCGATTGGCGACGAGGGAACCCTGGAGTTCATGAGTTTCTTCTACGATGCACTTTCCAAAGGCAAGAAGGCAAGTGAAGCTCTCAATCAGGCCATGAAGTGTATGAAAGAAATTGAAAAGTTCAAGGAGGTGATGCACTGGGCACCATTTGTACTCATTGGTGACGACGTCAACCTGGATTTCAATGATATTTAGAAGCTGAAGCAAGTAAATATTCTGTTCATACATTCTATTCAATACAAAGTTACATTAAATCATAATTATTGCCTATATGTGAGCACTGATACTCGCGTGTTATTTTCCTTTCAGTTGGGTTACGAATTTATTTTTCGCTCCGGAAAATTGAGATGCAGTACAATCAAGTGGACACGTTTACGATGATAACATTCTTTTTAGGAAAAATTAGGAGTAAAAAAGCAAGTTTCTTTTAAAACAATCCTTTTGTGCAATGTATCGTTTCATGTGCTAGGAAATATTTCATGGCAACTCAACCATTCCGGCCCCCTAAACTTAGATTCTTTTATTTTTCAGTTCAGGCAGTTAGCATTGGAATCCCAGGGAGTTTTCGGATACCAACAAAACGCTGATATTTGGACCAGAAACCAATAAACTACCGATGAAATCTATGTCAAGAGTCTTATTTTCAAAGCAGGAAGAACCAAAAGACGGCGAAAGTCAAGTTTAACAAGAGAACGGATTTCCTTTGATTCAAAAGTTGACTTTTTGCTTGTTTGAACTGCTCTTACGAGCTTCATTTTTGATATCCTTCTCAAGCTACTGTTTTCTTTCTTTCTTTTTTTTATATGATGTCTTGAAATTATCACGATTAGCTATGTAAAAAGTTATTTTTAATCTAAGTATTACCTACTACGAGGATTAAGGCATTACGTTTACGTCGAAGTTGAAACGTCTTGAAAACGTTTTCCACAGTTTTTTGACAGATTTTTCTTAATCGGTTTTTGTCTCATGAGTGATGTAAAGCTGTTACAGCCATGTGCATGTGTGGAGAATTTCCATGGAAATTGGAGAATAATCAGTTGTCCGATTGCTCGACTATCTTAGTTTATGTGAGATGAAAATTGTGATCAACTTTTCGAGGATTTGTACCCAGTCATTGGAACTTAAAGTTAGTTTCTGCCGATCATAACTTGGTTTATCTGAACTTAAAATGACAGATTTTTGCCGTAATGGCCAGGATTTAGTCTTGGTATTAGTTAATTTTCTGAGATTTCTCCTTAAATTTTGAATGCGATAAATTGTGTTATTTTTTACAAGCAGAACGATGCATTTTAAGGTTATTGTTTAAACTAAGAGCTAGTCTAAAGGCAAAACGAGAAGTTTTATTTTAATGTTAGTTACTGGCCTACAAAGCAACAAAAGAAGCTCAGAACGAGCTAGAAAGTTGGAGCCAAATGATTTTATTTAGTTTCTCCGATTAGATTGTTTACCTATTATCTAAGTACAATAAACTAACATTTGAATGTCAAACAATGAAACAAATCGCTTGGCATTTTGTTAGGATAGAAGAGGAAATCAATAACAAAGGGAAAAAATTTCTGCATCAAACTGCATAAGCCATTTCTTGTCGTTTGAAGTAATGAGTGCGCCTATGTCTTATTCGCTTAATAACTTTTGCCCATTTCTTTCAATAAATTTATTGAATGAGAGATAAACTTCGATATTTTCTGACTCTATAACTGTTAGTATCGATCACTGACTGCCGTTTCTTAGGATGTCACGCGTCAGACATTCTTTAGCACGTTATGCGACAGATGTGATGTTTTGTCACATCTTGTCGTTTGAAGAAGTGAGCGCACCTATGTCTAATTAGCTCAACTTTTGCCCATTTCCTTGGATAGAGTTATTAAATAAGATACAAACCTCGATTTTTTTTCAGATTTTATAACTGCTAGTTTCATTGGCAGCCGTTCCTCAGGATGTCACGCGACGCGCTTCTTTAGCATGTAAGGCGACATGATGTTTTGTCATATATCTTTGAAGAGGCAAGAAAAAAGAAATTACCTTTCACTTTGGGAGATGATGCTTTATTCCATTTATAGAAAGAGTCCTCCTCATGGGAGGTACCCAAGGTCGGTGTGGTTCCTCGAGTGTAGAAAATATCGATGAGTTTTTTTTCCACGATTGCAAACTTAACTAAAACAGCTTAACTTACTTAAAACTGAAGAGGGCCGACCGAGGAGAACTTTTTACGGCTAACAGTTAAAATTTTGGCCATTTTTCTGCTGCAGTTAACTCAGAATAACACAAAATAACACTTTGTAAGAAGGAAAGATTTTTAAGGATAATTTTTGCTACAACTAAGGGTTGAAATTTCAAGTATCAATTCTTACGCCCAACAGCTAGTTTTATGACCGATTTACGGCTAACGGTTAACCCTATGGGGACCCTCGACTGGGCGACATGCAAGATGTGAAATAATAATGGTTTAAGAGGGTGGCATTTTCAACTCGAATTCAGAATTAGACCTTTTAGGTAAAAACAAGCCGTGGAAAAATCCTGGAGACAAGGATTAACCTGGGAGAGCCGAAAATTAACTTATCAAACGTAAATTCAGAAATTCATATATTTTCTTTGTATCACTCTTGTATTTAATGTCTCGTAGATATTATTCAGTACCTGACATATACATATAAATATATATATATATATATATACACACACATATACGCATTTTAAGTTCATCCGAACATATTAATGACACTGCAGATAACACCAACACAAAAGATGCACCGACAGAAGAATACATGCCCACTTAACGGAAACTGCCTCCAATCATCTCTAATCTACCATGCCACCGTCACACGTAAGGACAACGGCACCATTGAAACATACATCGGACTTACAGAAAACGACCTCAAGACTAGATACAGAAACCACACCGCATCATTCCGACACACAAAACACAGAAACTCTACCGAACTCAGCAAACATATCTGGACTCTTAAAGAAAATAACTTTAACCACTTTATTTCATGGCGCATCCTTTCATCAAGATCACCCTACAACAGCGCAAACAAAAGATGCAACTTCTGCCTCAAAGAAAAATTGCTCATCATCCGCCGACCCGAATTATCATCACTCAATAAACGTAATGAACTCGTGTCCCCACCACAGAAACAAAGCGTTCCTGCGTAACAATTGAACTAAGCATCGAAATTAACAGACACGCCTACTATGCAAATTTGTAAAGTATGTAAACGATGGTACGAATATATTTAACAAAATCCCCTGATAAGAGAGCAATCACAAACAGGCTTGGTATAAAAGTATAGTCTCTCTGTTTTTCCCCCCCAGCGCAACACACACACACACACACCCACGCATGTGCGTGCGTGTGTGTGTGTTGTAAAGTATTTTACAAGGAAGCCATTTCAGTGCAAGTCTCGAACTGTGAGGCGGCTTGACCGCGCTTTGTTTTCCTTTGAGAGAAAATAAAGATATGTTTATCTTTGAGTTCTGTTCGCTTAGGAATCTCGTTATGTATATAATAAATAAGTCATTATTCACTCGTTGTGAATAAAAATCGTACGCGCTCATCAACCGTGAAATAACCAATAAATATACTCTCGACAATGCAAATTCAGGCAGCATACAGGACTCTAGTCACATAGTAACCCAGTTCATGGTCATAGTAAACTCGCAAATACCGTCATCCATTTAGTAAAAAATCCGACCCTTATAATCGAAACTGGTCAAGTACTACGAGCGTAGGACAATGAAAAAATTTTGGGCAGAGTTCCCATGAGGAATCGAACCTCAGACCTTCGGATTTATATAAGTTGATGTCGCGCGATCTCACGAACGGGCGGCCGACGTCTTTTTTTTTTTTTTTTTCCTTTTTTTTCTGCTGATATGTTTCGGCCCGTGCAACAGATTAAGTGGAAACAATCAAAAGTCTCTATAATTGCTCTGTTCAGTCAACAATATGGAGAATAGGAGGCCCACACCTGCTTTCCACTCTTCAGTCTTTTAAAAAAAACTGCTTGACTTTGAACAGCCAATTACCTATGTTACACAAGAAAGAGGGTGGCAAGGGGTTTTAGACTGACGCACGATCAAGGCCAAAATGTATGTGAAGCGTCAATTTTACAGAAAGGCAAGCGTGTTTCGTAAATTTATAACCAGCGCAAGGCGTCATTCGCCTCCCCGCCAAATACATGATTGACGAGTGTCTTCTTTCTTTTCTTGAAAACCTAAAGATTTCCTTGAAACCTTGCCCACAAGTGGAAAGATTTGAAGTTTAGTCTCCTTATTAGTTCGTGACGCGTAAAATGCTGTTTAAAGTACTCTCGACGCGAGACTTTTGCAGAAAGTTGTACGTGAAATAGGATCAGGACCTTTGATTCCCTTAAGGAAGGCGGAGAAGACACATGTACTCTGGTGCAGCAATGACTTTCCGACAGAGATCGTTGAACAAGATGCGGTCACTTGAGAATCCCTATCGTCTTAAAGAAAAGATTCTTTCGTTTAATCTTTTGGCGTCGCGTAAAATCAACTGAACCCGGCCCTCTCACGTTTTCCTTCTTCACAAGGCCTATTCCACTTTCATCATATCTCGCAGATTTCCCATGAATCCTTACGTTTTTTCCTGGTTTACGGCCGGACCTCTTAAGCCTGCGCAATGTAGGTCATGTGATAATACACTTGAGAATTGTTTCTCTCAAATTTCGTCGTCTCACGTGCAGAGGTAAGCATTTTTTTACCAAAGACAAGGGAGGGAATTCCCCAGAGGTTTCCATTGGGAAATTAAAACTAACCGCTAAAGAGCTCTACTAGCAAGTAGCCCACTTACCCCTTCCCTAACCCAGTTAGGGGAGGGGTAGGTGGGCAGTTGCCCAGATACTGATATTGATCCCAAAAAGCTTCTAGGGTTGTTTGTGTTTATTCATGAAAGCAGAAGATATGAATAACTTTTATTAACCATGAAAAAAAGTTGCACGTTGAAATTATTCGAGAATGGAGCTTTCAGTAACAACGCTGTGTTTGGTGACTAACCCACGTCACTGAAAGGTTCAAAATCTCAATTGTAATTGGACTGTTTACTTCATACCTGTCTTCGTTTATTAGTTTTTCCGATTTTTCGAGGTATTCTTGTGCAATCACTATTATTACCGTTCGCTTGGTCAGCATGCATTCAGTTCATGTTAGACAAACCACTGTAAACTATTTAACTTTAGTTCTTGCTGCTACTGTTACGAAGATGGATTGATCACCAATTAACGCTCGTTCGGCGAACTCCTACTTTGCCTGATTCTGCTTTCCACTCGACTTTTCCACCACACTTCTCGCTCACGTTTTTCATTTGTTTTTGTTCTTATCAAAAACGGAGCGTTTAAGCAAACCACTTTTATTTACAAAACGCGGAGCAGCAGGAAGGTTTTGGGAAGTACATCGAATTAATTGATTTGCTTTTGGTTCTGTTTACTTATTTGTTGAAATACGAGAACACAAAAATTCATAAAAAGCTTTACCAAGCATCGCGTGAACAAGAAGAGACACATACGCCTTGCGAAAGATCACTTTCGGTTAAGGCCCATGTGGCGGAAAAACTCTCATTTTAGCCCGAGTTCTCGCGCATTACTGAAACCAACGCTTACGTTCTGTAGATGATTTATCGTTGTCCATTCCAAATAATTTGTTCTTGCACTTGGACAAAATTTTAGTAAACTATGTTTTGTTCGGCTGCTCTCTCTTTTTTATTAAAGGTCCTTTCCTTTCCCTATTTGGACAACAGAAGGTTTAAGCAACACTGAACTACATGTCTTGCTCATCCAAGGAAGATTTATCCATTTAGCTTCGGTAGATTACTGAAACCAACGCGTGCGTTTTAAGGATGATTCATTATTATCCATTCCAAACAGTTTGTTCTTGTACTTAGACACCATCTGAGAGAACTTCGACTCGTCATTCTGCTCCTGTTGTCGTTTCCGGGCGCCTTTCCTCTTTCTATTTGGGGCATCGGAGGTTCTGCTCACTTTAAATTCACTGTCTTGTCTTTCTTTTGAAGCTCTATTTACCATTTTAAGGTAGGGACTAACATTTGGGGCGGTACCTGATGTGACTTTGGTACGAGAATTGTTTCTAAGAACCAAAGAAGATTGTTTATTTCTTCCAACATTCTTTTTACCTCGCTTCGACTCAGATTGTGTAACGTCCATTCTGGACAAATTTTCAAATTTCTTTGCTTTCGATGAGGATAAGTTTGAACTGTTCACTGCCTTAATAACTTTGTTTCTTTCCTGCGCTATTTTGTCGCCTTCGCTGTCCTTGCCCTCTTCCAATTTTCGTTTCTTCCTCGCTTCTCTCTTTCTCACTCGTTTTTCTCTTCGCTTCTGATTTCGCTCCAGCCTTCTCTCCTTATTTGTCTTGGGTTGTTCATCGCGCGCATGCTCGTCGACGCTCTGCTGCTGCTTGTGCTGAGCCTTCTCTACATGACGCTGCTTCGCCTTGAGGACGAGGCTATTTTCTATCGAGAAATCCACAATTGGTCAACGATCCGGTCCAAATATGGCGGGATTGTTATTGGTGACTCTCAGGACGGCAAGAGCGTCTTTGTGATTGGTGAATTCTATGAATCCGTATCCCATGGAACGTCCACGGCCTGTGCTGTCTAACCTATCTTTACTCCGGATAATCAGCACTTTCTTCACGCGCATCCTCTTTCCTGTGGCGGTGCCGAAGATCTCTTGCAATTTCTTGTCGTCTACATTTAGAGGCAGGTTTCGAACACAAAGCCTGGAAACACAAAAGATGAATATTTAACAGTGCTTGCAGTAAGTCATTCAATTTACTTTACCACAGCTAAAGAAATAACGACACTACGCAGCATTTCGTGATAAAATAAACAACAACAACAACAACAACACAAAATAAAAACAAACAAAACAAAAACCATGGAAATATATGGAAAATCCATAATAACGAACGCCCAAAACTCTGAAAAGCCCATATTCCCCATAATAAGCGAGAAGGAACATGGAATAGGAAGCGGGTTCACTGCACTGCAGCCAATCAAAAAAAGACACTCACCGGGTTGTTGAGACGAAATTATTTGGATTTTCTAGCTTTGCTTTCTTCTCTGCTTCAGCTTTCTGTCTCTTCACTAAATCAGCTTTGGACAAGCCCTGAGCAGCTTCTGAGCCTGGTGTAATTAAACCTTCTTTAGCCAGGTATAAATTACGTTTGTCCCTTGTATCCTTGGTTCCGTCCAGCTTCTTTTCCTTTGCTAGTTCTGCCGCCTTTCCACGCGTTACTGCTTTCGTCACATTCAGTTTAAAATTGTCCAAGGAAATGCCTAGGGAATCAACGAGAGAACAGTTCAATGGCATCGCAAAGTCTTAAATGACTGCATTCCCACTATGCTGATGCGCTAAAAATTCGACTGTGGGCATCTACGCCGCAATCTGACTGCATGCCCGTGACGTAACAGTTCCATTACCGTTTTGGTCATGTCTTGGTGCTCTCCTGACGTAATTTTTTTTCTGAGTGTGTTTTGACGTTTTGTGTCAATGGCAAGAACACCACTGAACAACCGTCTTTGAACCTAACGTTGTGATTTTGCGTGTGCAGCCAGGTTAGGGAGCTAATTTAAAGATGGCAGCACCATTCAATTGATGAGTTTTTAGCAGATTTGAGGACAATTTTCGAAAGTTCAGGTTACACTCACGAATCTCAAAACGGAATAAGTAACAGATGTTTGAATAGCTGAGCACATTCCTCTTTGAATAATCATTCGCAGAGAACAGTAAATGAAAGAAGGGGACGCGGTGAGCTGATACACGCGCGCTGAACTCTAGCTCAAGCTTTCACTGTAGCTCGTAGTGCTCGTAGCAAGAAATTACCGAAAGTATTCTCGGGTACAACGTAGAACCCACCAGAGATTTGAATGAGGGTAAAACGAGAAAAAAATAATAATGGGGGCAGTAGCAAAACTCTAAGTCACTCAGTTTCACACTGAAAACCAGAATTTCACTTGGATTTCACCGGCAACTTTACTTTTAGGGAGACTTGAACCTATAACAATGTATGTGGTCTGATGAAAATCGGCGAAACACGTTGATAGTTTTGAAACAAGACATTTTCTTAAGTTTACACAACATTCTTACCGGTTCCATCTTTGTCTGCTTCCACAAGACACTTTTCGGCGCCTTCAACCGTTTTAAACTTCACAAACGCCATTCCACGGCTGTGACCGGTCCTTTTGTCCTCAACCATCTTACAATAGTCTACCTCTCCAAATTGTTCAAACAATTCGTAAAGTGATTCCTCGCTAGTGTCAAACGATATGTTCCGGATGAATAAAGTCTTGCCTTCTTTGACATCTGAGGGTTGCTTAGTTTTCTTGGCTTTCGAGGCTTCTTCCTCCTGTTCGTGTTCTTGATCGCTGACTTCATTTTCCTCCTCCTCTTCATCGTCTCCAGTATCAGAGCTGCCAGATTTTTCTTCGTCTGATTCAACATCGGAGTCATCGTTAGAAACATCAACGCTGATGTCTTTCATCTTGGTTATCATCTGTATTCTCATCTGTGACTCTCGTCTTTTCAGCCTGTGTTTCTATTTCATGGAAATAGGAAAAAAAATCAATGGCCTGAAACTGTCAAAAACTGCTGCATATTTTAGGGAACTAAATAAATTTTGAGCCTTTTTCTTTGACGTACAAAATTACGTTAAAAGCAAAGGAAAGAACAACATATCACCTTGCTATAATAATAAATAACCGAACAAAAATTGGAAAGTAGAAAGCAAACCAAAGATAAATAAACGTCAAACTTTGACATCCTAGGTTAATTTTGAGCTCTAAAGGTGATCAAAGATGCACTGACTCTTTAACTCCCAGAGGTGATCAATATGTAACTTCTCCCTAAAATACCCATACATTATCCATCAAACAGGTAGTGAGAATACTCAAACTTATCTGGCTGAAGTTGTCATTTTGATCTAACACCAAATTCTCATAACTAATTTACAACGAAATATGTAGCAGCTAGAGAGGAGAATTAACAATCAGATCTTGGGAGTAAAGGGTTAATTCAAAATTTCCTTGGGAACTACAGGCTTGTTTGTAAGACACTTATTTTCATCTCACTCTGCCTTATTTTTTGGGGCTTTGTGAAAGCTAATACTACCAGAAAATTAACTCATAGTACTTCAAAAAACCATATATTATTTTTTTGATGTCATCTCCTTGGTAAACACCTCTGCTGCAGCATGGTGCACAATTACAATGGAACTCACAACATGACTGTAACAGGGAAACTGGAAAATGGACAGAAAATTTAAACCAAGGAAACACAACTAAAAGATCTATACATCTACCTAATAGCAAATGCACACCAATAAATACACATAAAACAAAAAAGGAACATCTACAGACCTTCAATGCCTTTCTTCTCCTTATAGTCAGATTGGCCAGGGCCCAGGTAATGAGAATACTCAAAGTAGATATTTACCTCCCCCCTCCCCCCCCCCCCCAAAAAAAAAATGAAAAAAAAAAAGTGTGATTTTCAGCTGAATTTGTCAGGTAACTGCACCTGCAACAGATGGGAGGTCCAAAAATGGTGTAGTTTAGAAATGCGTCAAACAGTTAGAAATTAAAAAACATCGTTTAGAAGATAATTATTTTTAAAAAAAAATGCGTGAAGTTCATTCAGTACTATAATTTGTACAAATCAACTCAGACTATCTTGTAGCATAGAAATATACTCATGTTTTATTTTGGATCGTTCTTTATCGGTGAAAAACAAAAATAACGAAAATTTTTCTCCTTTCAAGTCTTTACACTTTAATTTTCTTTGCCTGTAACAAAAATACATCATTAAAGAAGAGAGATAAAAAATTAAAATAGTACACGATATATTTTGTATTGATAAAAATCCATATTTTGCTAACAACTTGTCGCAAAGTGATCGGAAAGGTCAGGCACACCAAATGTTCTATAATGAAGAAATGTAAAATGGTGTCCGTGTTTACATAGCCTGATGTAAACACGCGGGAGGTTGGGAAAACACAAGATAAGCGTAGGAAACCACGACGCGAAGCGGAGTGGTTTCCAGCTTATCGAGTGTTCATGTAAAATGGTTTCATGGCCAATCAGAGAGCCTAAGTTTAGGAAATGGACTTATACAAAATTGTATGATCGGGATCGGGATTGGCCAGTGTAAACTGACGGGATTACGGGATTGAGAAAAAATTTTTTGGTCGGGATTGCGGGATTGAAGAACGCTATTGGAGACTCTCTAGATATGCCAGGTGAAATAACTCCTGGTATTCTTCCTTAGTAAAAAAAAGTAATAAAAAATGAATAAATAAATAAATGTAATAAAAGAATTAAAAAAAAAACAATGAATAAATAACTAAATGGGGGCCGGTCATTATTCATCACCTGGGGGAAGGGGGTGGGGGTAGGAGGGTTTTGGTTCTTTCATGATAAACTGGACCTGATCACCCCTATAAGACTCTGTAATATCCTTACGACCCCCCCCCCCTCCACTGCACCGCATGCCGCACCCCACACACACCCATTGGCTCTTGACTTCTCGTATGGCAGTTCAGCGCCCTTCGATCAACCTAAGCGGGCGATGGTTTAACGACTTTCACATCAGCAAAAAATAAATAAATAAATAAATAGCATGTTTATGTCATTCTGCTATACTCCGGATTAATGAAAATAAAAAGTTAAAAAATGTAATATGTGGGCCTGTCCAAACTTGGCGTATAAATAGTGAAACAGCATAGCTACAAAATAGAATCATGGATCACGAAATAAACAATGACACACGATTTTCTGTTTCGAGTTCGATGAGCTCATATTCAGCTTCTTCAATACTGCTCGTGTTACCAAGTGCACCGTTTTGTTACACACTTGTGGGGCAAATCACATTTTCACAGGAGTTAAGGTGAGGACAGAATAAGTTAATAGCGACCTAATGCAGTGTATGAGATAAACGGGTATTGACTATAGATACAGATAGAAATAATTTGAGACATGAGACAAAAGAATGAAAGAAATATCGATCTTATTTACTCGTCACGAACGCAGAATCGAATCTTAGACCATCGGATTTTACGATCTGAAGTTCTCACATATAGCTATAGATTTCTCGTTAATGAGCCATGACATACAGTGGATCATCCTGTATACTGCTAAGATCATTAATGTCGAAATTTTCATGTCTTAAATACATAATAAAAGAAAGGAAATTTCAAGCTCTTTCGTGACAAAGGAAAAAAATAATTTTTAACCGACCACCGAAAAAAAACCTATTCGTCAGATCAGGTTAAACGACAGATAAAATATCAATGCTGACATGTAGATAAACATACCAGACCTTGAGGTAGCTCATTTATCTTCCCATGAGGGATCTACGGAGCTGCGGCATTTCTGATTCCAGTATCAAGTGCGTCACTTGTCTGTATGAACTATTATACAATTATTTATGGCCTCGCTTATTGCATCCAAACTCAGCAGACAATTCTGGAGCTCAGAGAGACAGAGAGCTAGGGCCTCAGATTTCTCTTCCAACTTAAAGACAACTGGTTCAGTAACAATTTATTCATAAAATTCCTGTAAGATACACAGAGGGTTTCTGTACACAAAGATGCATGGAGTACGTAGATTTTAAAGAATTTGAATATTTAAAATCATATCATATTTATTATATTTCTTTAAGAAGAGTACTTATGGTATTCGCTTTAATTCTTTCCAATGCGCGAAACAATTTAAATTTGCTTTTCTCTAGATACAACGAGAAGTCAAGTATTTTTCTTGGAAAAGAACTTTATTGGAGTTAAATTTATTGCAAGTACTCTTCAGGTGAGGAAAGATAATGAAGAAATATGTAGCATATTGTAATCGAAAGACATGAAAATTGGATAAAAAATATACATAAACAATTCATATTATTGGTTTGATTTTTTAGCTTTGTATCTCCCTCCTGTGATGAATATGTACAACTTGTTATTACAAAGTGTACGAACAGAGAAAGTTATCACTTATAGCGAAGTATCTTGATGTAACACTAAATTTCTTTACATGTGAGAGAAAGTCAGTGAACGAAAACAGTTGAGGTATGGATGTCCATTTAATCTTGTTCGGGACTCGACTACATACGAACAAAACCATCTTGATTTTGTGAATCAGCATCGTTGGCATATTAGGAAGGAACATATTTTATTATTCCAAAACTGATTGTATCGGAATGAGATCTAGAGCGCCACTGAATTTCACCGGACACTTACGCGTTTTGACTGCAAAAATATTAAGTGCAGAATTGGCGGGAGTTATTTACAAGAAATAAGCTTACCGTTATTATTTTTAGAAACTTTATGAAGTCGTGATGGTGAAAATTTGAGAAAATCGTAACGCTTTTTTTTCATGGAAACATGACTTTAAAAAAATGTTTATTATATAAAATACGCTGACTGATGACGCCAATCAGTTACTGCGCGTCACTCGCCTTTCGCGACACTTTATTAGGTTTGTTGAATAAATGGCAAATTCTCATTCCTGAATAAAGTCGTCTTTCAAGTTGTCTGCAAAATAAACAAAATAATACATGGTTCCTTGTAGATATAGGATTATTATTCTCGATATCTCACGAGAGAGCACATTGAACGAGGGATATATCGAGTTGATAGTTGATCACTTGAAGAGAAATTGCACTGGCAAAATATAACTCACGGTGTGAATTTATCCTTATTGATTCAGCTATGGCAGAGTGTAATGTGTCCTGCTCTGAGGAGAAAAGGGATTTTGCGGATTGCGAGTGTGTCGCACTTAAAGAGAAAGAGCTAAATTTAAATTACAAAATGAATTAATCGCCATAGAGAAACATGTAAACAAGTAATAATCATAAAAGGAATATAAAACACCAAAAAAAACCGTCACAACATTTTTTTTGAAGTAGAAGAGCAGTTTTGATCACGAAACTGGGCATTACACGACTTAAGATCTTTTAAACTCGTGGATATGTAATCCTTTATGTTTTCATCGAAATTTTCATAAAGCAAAATATTATTCTTCATATTTTCAGGCATGTAGAATTAACAAATGACATCGTTTGGAGAATAGAAGGATTCAGAGGATGACAGTTTAACAGGTACAAACCAATTTTCATTCTGCAACTGATTATAGCTGTTTATAAGGTTAAGTTATTTAAAATGAACCATCGTAATCTTAATTTTCTTGCGGCTTTTAATTTCAGTCGAATTTTCTCGGGTTATTGTTGTCAGACGTAAAATATTTCACTTACATACACTTATAAATTTCATTGGTTATTCCATTGCACTCGTGGTTAATAATATACATGCGATCATAATTAAACATAAGCCTTAAAGCGCGCGCATCAATGTAAAAAATAATTTATTCAAACCGTGCGTTATCAAAACAACCGCGTACGATCAAAACAGAATATGCAATGATATTTCACATCAAGGTAGAAAAAGTTCGTTGTCCGGATAAACGGTTCAAGGAATTGTTCAGTCTGTATCACTTTTGATGG